GTGAATCAGGCCGACGAGCAGCGCATCCTCTTACCCGGCTATTTCACGACACCAGGGTTGCACCCTACCCATCCTCTCCAGGCAAGCGTCGCGGGACCACAGGACACAGGAACTTGGGAACAGGGTGGGTTGGGATAACTGACTGTGAAAGATGATGTTCTGACAATCATACATCACCTTACAATCACCTGGGAAGCTTTAGACAAATGCCAGTGTCTGCCCTCCCCTTACTCTGCCCAAGCCCATGAAGGCTCAGAGGTATGGTCTCAGAGTCAGCAGTCCTGAGAGGTTCTAATCCACGTGCAGCAAGAAGGAAGCAGGTGGGCCCAGGGCTCAGAACTGAACTGTTCCCCATGTTCTTGTCTGACCATGCTGTGGCACCTGCTGGCCCCTGCCCAGCCCCGCTCCTTTAGATTTGCTGTAACCCACTCAACTGCTGCTCCTGGCACCAAAACACCTGGGGCAAAAGCAGCTCCTCATCCTAGTGTCCAGGGCTCTTCCTGCCAAGGATCCCTACTCACAAACATCTTCACCTATGGAGTTCTCCCACCCCACCCTCCAAAACAAACCGCGCCTTCATACAAAATGCTAATACTATCATCTCTGTCTTCAGGACACTCTACCATCTTGCCACTTATAAGTCAGTCTATGAGGCCCCAGGTTTCCTCTTTCATGTGCATACCCTGCCTGCTTGGTCCTAACACACAGGCCCTCCTGCTCTGTTGGAAGCCCAAGCCACATTTTATCCAGGGCCTTTGCTCTCTTCCTTCCTATCTCCACTCCCCAGCCCCCACCTTGCAGTTCCTGCTCACATATGGGTAGCCAAGCTCAAGATTTGCGTCCTCAGACAGGCCTAGCAGTCCTACCTAAGAAAAGCTTTATTTTCGTCATAGTACACATCACTAAGTGTATTCTGATGATCGCTTGTCTGTTTATTACTGCCTGTCTCTCCCTCTAGAATGTGAGCCCCCAGAGGACAGGGACTTGTTTTAGGGAGGATGGGGGGAGCTTGCTCAGCACAGAAAATTGTATGTGTTAATTACCTAATAATTGTGATGGAATGGATAGACGACCCCTTCAGCCTGCTAGCCCACCAATTCTCTGTTCTTCCAGCCCACCCACCTCCTCCTCTGTCCCTGCCCACCTTTCCTCTCAGCCCCCATCTCCTGTGAGGTCCCCTCCTCTGCTGGTGCTTCATGCTCTGAGTTTCCAGGTTCAGGGCCTGGTATATATGAGGAACTTTGGGAGGGGCCTCTGTGGCCGTGAAGACTGCTGGCCTCGCATTGGAAGGATGCGACCTGCCCTCCTGTCCTTGTGGCTCAGCCAGAGGATTTTTTTTTTTCTGATCTCTGAGTCTATCTGGTCCTTGGCTGGCCCTGGTACAAGTGTGGCTCCCAACTTGCTGCTGTGGTAGCTGAGGCTCACCCAGTGGGGAGACTTGCTCAGAGACATCCCCCCCAAAAAAAACAGAGTGGAAGCTCCTTAGCTCCAATCCCAGGACTGTACTGAGAGTAGGGGTCCTGTGTCCTCTCAGAAGCTGGATCCAGGATGAACGGCATTCTGTCAGTCACAAGCGGTCCCCTTACAGGGTCTGTGCTTTGGCACAAGGTGTCAAACAGTCTCCAACTGTCCTATCAATAAGCCCCTCAAGGGATCCCGCCTAAGCCTCATTCTACTCCAGAGAGCACAGTGGGGCAGCAGGTTTGGGGAAGCAGCTTTATGCCCCTTCCCACTGACAGGAGTGCTTTGGAGAAAGGAAGAACTTATGTGCCAAGGTCACTCAGCCATTTCACAGCCTCTTACTCCTGGCTGAGAACCAGCCCTGGCCTCTTCTATCCTAAGATCTTTATCAGGAATTTTCCATAGCTGCCAGCGCACAGTGTGTTGGAATGGTGTGGGGATGCTGGGTAGCTGTGGGGTTTGCCAGGTAGCTGGCAGTTTAAAACTCAGAAGATAAGATCTGCCCCGAGGTCCATGGACCTGTTTGGGGGTGGGGAGGGTGTATGGGGAAGGCTTCAAAAATCTCACCATCCCTGCCAAGAAGGTAGAAAACTGACCCGGAGGGGTCCTTGGTCCCTGAGTCCTTCCTTCAAGCCTTCAGCCCTGCCAGGAGCTGGCAGACGAAAGGAGTGTATGTCCACCTCTGTAAGTCTTCCTCTGCTCACCACTTAACGTCTGATAGAGGCAGGACCTGAGCTGTGGGAATCTTCAAAGACACCTTACATGCCCGTCTCGAGGTAATCCTGCCAGCTAAGGATTGCCCACCTGGCTTACCTCTCCTTGGTTCCAGTCTCCATTCATTCCCTGTACAACCAACAAGCATGTATTGAGCCCCTGTCTGAAACTCCAGTTAGTTGAGATAGTCGCTGAACAATCAATTGTGCGAGGCCCCTGCCTTGGTGGCTTCCTTTCCAAGAGATTGGAGGGAATACTTGCCCCCTTCATGAAAAGGAGCACTGAGGTCTGAGAACATCTCTGTGCTCATAGGGTGACTCTGGGATGGTCTCTAACTGGTCTCAGCACTGTCTTCCTAGCTAGACACATCTGCCCTGGTCCAGAGTAGCAGGGGATAGCTGGGTCTCTTGAAAGCACCCACCAGAGTGCAACTTCCTGTTGGAGGTACCAGGGTCTGGATGCCTTGGGGCAGGTCCTCTAGAGGATATGGGGAGGCTCTGAGAGGAGCAGAGTGCTTTCCTATAGTTTCCTCTGGAAGATACTGGAGCCTGAGTAGAGTCCCAGTACATGAGTGGACAGCAGCCTTCTGACCTTCACCCACCCCAGGCCTCTGTAGGAACAAGACAGGTAAAAGGCCTCCTCCGGGAAGCCTTCCCTGCTATCCATACCTTGACCCTTCTCCAGTGGCCCACTCCTGCCACTGAATGCTCACCTCACAGCTGGTCTGGTCTGACCTAGCTGTAGCTTCCCCTGAACTCTTGTTCCACCATGGCTTCTCCAAGCCCCGGCTCCTGCTGCTGCACAGCATGGGGTGCTGGTAAAGGTCTGGTGGACAGTGGCATGAGTCCTCAGCTCTTACTTTTAATTTCATAAACTTTATTTTTAAAAAATCTTGTGCCAGATATGATGGTGCAAACCTTTAATCCCAGTACTTGGGAGACAGAGGCAGGAGGAGCTCTGTGTGTTGGAGGCCAGCCTGGTCTACAATGTGAGTTAGAGGACAGCCTGGGCTATTATACAGAGAAACCTTGCCTTGAAAAACAAACAAAAATCTTGCAAATAAATAAAAAGATCCACACCAAATTTAACCGCACCCAAGACCAACACAACGTACCTTCTACACCGTTAGCACTGGCACAGAAAGGGAAGCTGTGGAGCTTCGCATCAAATTTTACACCTTTAGTATCAAATATATTTTTTGCAATTGTTCATCATCCAAACCAAAAAAAAAATAATAATAAAAAAACTGTGACAGAGTTACAACTTCGAAAACATGAGCTTTTTGTCACCTTTCTGTGTCCTTACTGCATTCAGTCCTTCCTCATTGCCTTATATTCAGCCCTTCGTATGCTCTTTCTTCATGTTATACTGTACCCACAGGTGCTTTGTTTTTATACATACATATATTTTTGGCTAGATTCCACATGCTGGAGAATGTGTGATTTATCTCTAAGATTGTGTGATATCACCTAATAGTCATTCTGAGACCATCCATTTCCCTGAAAACATTTTACCTTGATAGCCGAGTAGCATGCATATATATAATTTATATGTATATAATTTATGCATATATAATTTATACATATATATAATTTTCATTGTCCATTTGTCTGTTGATGGACAAGGTCAGTTCCAAATCTTTGTTATAGTCAATAAAGCAGCAAAAAACACGTACAGATATCTTGTTTTCTTGTAAGTTGCTGGGTCACCTTGCTGGGAAGCAACTGAGAGCAAATTCAGGGCATAAGTCTGAGAGGGCAGAGGGAGCAGGCTTTAGGGTAGGCCCTAAGCTTCAGCGATCCAGGGAAACCCTGGGTTTCCCTGAATTCTTCAGAGAACTCAGAGACTCTGGGTTCTTCAGAGACCGGGCATCCGCCAGGCTTCTATGCCTCATAGCCATCAGTTACTGAGCGCCCCGCCTCTTAGGGGAAAGATAGTTATGTGTGGGGCCATTGATGTAAGGGGTGACTCTGGGGACCCTCACAGCCACATGACCATTCCTTTCCTAGGACACACCAAGCATCCACTACTCCATGCATCAAGACCCACGGTCTCTTTCATACCCCAGGGGACTGTCCCTGCAATGACTTCAGAGCCTTCAGTGACCAGACCTCCTAATCCTTCATGGGAATACTACATAGCTCCAGGGAGGGAAGGCCAGTTGTTCTGGACTCTAAACTACAGCCCCATAGGCCAGCCTGCGAATGTGAAGGTCGGGTATGGCACTGTGCCTGATTGCCCTAGAGGCCAGTGGCCAGTACCAAGCCCCCAAGTCAGCTGAGAGGCAGCTACAGGTCTGGCTTGAGGTCGCTAATCATAGTGGCTTATGTATATTGAAATGTATCAGGAAAGACCCTGAAACTGTGAGGGATGAAGATTGGAAGACAGACTTCCTTTTTTATATGGATGTCCTAAAATGACATCCATTCAAACTAGTAAATAAAATGAAAGAAATACGCTGTGCCCCAACAGGAGGACTGTTAACTTGCAATGAAGGTAGGCACTTGTAGCAGGTCTTCTCTGGCTCCTCTCTCACGTCTGCTGCTTCCCAGGTCCTAGCTGCAGAATCTCAGCTACCCTAGGCTTAGAAGGGCTACTGCAGGACTCGGGGATGTGGCTCAGGGTTCTAGCCCAGCCCTCCTGCTCCAAAGTGGTCCCTGTGTCAATGAGCAGATAAATGGGGGCAGGACAATTGCTAAGCTCCGCCTCCCACGCTGGCAGAGACCCTGCTCACTTGCCTGGGCGGTCTGGACCAAGCTCCCGCCTTCTCCTAGCTGCTCCCCAGCCTATAAAGCCACCCTCAGTGCCCTTGCCCACTCTGTCCCCTCCTTTGATACCCAGAGCCATAATGGCAGAGCTACCTGTGACAGAGATACCTGGCGATGCTCTGTGCAGTGGGCGCTTTACCATCAGCACACTGCTGGGAGGCGATGAGCCCCCACCAGCCGCCGGTGACAGCAGCCAGCCCAGCCACTTGACACACAGCAGCACCTTGTACATGCGCACCTTCGGTTACAACACTATAGACGTGGTGCCTGCCTATGAACACTATGCTAACAGTGCTCTGCCCGGTGAGCCTCGGAAGGTGCGGCCCACCCTGGCTGACCTGCATTCCTTCCTCAAGGTAAGCAGCCGTTCAAAGACTAGCCACTTCCTGGCTGTGTGACTCTGGCATGACTGCCCAACGTGTTCTATCGCCTGTGTTGTGAAGATGACTGGGCATCTTCCTCAAGGATCAAGATACCCAAATGAAATAGTGCACAGAGGTGCCATCAAGCTCGGGGGCACACACAATACATATTGTCTAGGCACTGTCAGCACCATAGCATAGCTTGGCTGCTCATGCAAACGCAGGTTGCACAGCGCTGAGAGAGACTGCGAGAGGGAGGGAGCATGGTGGGCCCTCTCAAATATCAGCTGGATAGCTTCGCTGTCTGGGAGGCTGGAGGGTCCATTCTCTGTCACCTCGTGGTTTCACAGACAGTTGGATGGTTCTGGATCTGGAACTTTCTTAACCTCTAATGCTCTCCCATGTTTCAAAGCTACCCTCTGAAGGGGCCAAACAAGACCCCTTGTTTGAATAGAGATGCTGAGATGAGGTGCAGAGAAGGGGAAGAAGGCCCCAGAGTGGGCTGCAGTCAGTAGGGATACGAAACAGAAGACTGCCATGCTGGAGTCACAGACCTGGGTTCAAGTCTATCTGTGCCAGAGACCCGGTGTGTGGCGTTGGACATAGTGCTTCACCTTCTATCCTGGCCCTTCTCAGACTGCAGGCTTGTCAGATCTTAGCCCTCTGCCCTAGAGAGGAAGGAGCCTCTCTGAGCAGAAGCACTCTGAATGCTCTGCTTTCTCTGTCTCTCTGTCTCTGTCTCTGTCTCTGTCTCTGTCTCTGTCTCTGTCTCTCTCTCTCTCTCTCTCTCTCTGCTGTTTCTCCAAGCTTCAAGCAGCATTGTGTCCAGGAAGCTGTCCAAGGGCACCCTGTGTGGCAAAGTGGGGCAGGTGGGACTGAATACAGACACCCAGCCCCAAACCCCCATTCCCTGACTCCTGTTGGTTTCTGGGCCCCCAGCAGGAAGGTAGCCACCTGCATGCCCTGGCCTTTGATGGACGGCCAGGCCATGAGCTGACTGATGGACTTGTGGAAGACGAGACAGGCACCAACAGTGAGAAGAGCCCTGCAGAACCTGTGCGCTTCGGCTGGGTCAAGGGGGTGATGGTGAGCGGCTGTGGACTGGGGCTTGATGTCTAGACAGGGTAGGGAGTAGAGCCCCATTCATCCTCAGCTTTGACTCTCAGGCCCTAGTGAGCAGTTTAGACCTTGGGCTCAGTTTGGGCCTCAGTTTCCCCATCAGCAATGACCCCCAGTTAATTGTATTTGGTGTAGGCTTCCCAAACTTCTTGTGGCCAAGACTCAACCCTGGGAAGATCTCTGCTTAGCTACTCACTAGTGATGTAGCCTTAGGAAAGATACTTAGCCACTCCCTGCCTCGGTTTTCTCACCTGTAATACTGAGCATTAAAATAGTTATTAGGTGTGAAAATTCTTGGATCAATGCCTGCTAGGAGGTTATTAGGAGAAATTCCCCATATGGCCACTAGAGGGCAGCACCAACATACAAATCTACAATTCCTCCCCTCCTCTCTCATACCATGCTAGAATGCAGTAACACAGTAGTGTTAGCTGTAGTAAGCCTTCGGTAGTAAAGAATCAAGTGCCTTTGACTTTGAAAGACAATATCGGATTCTACAAAGATGATGGGATGCGGTACAGGAGAAAGCAGAACTACCACCTACATCTCCCGGGGGGCTTCACAATCACAATTGGAACAAGCCCTGATCTGTGTTGTCCAAAACCAGGCACACCCTGATTTTCGTCTCAGCAGATGAGAGCCCCTGAAATCTCATGAGTATCAAGGTCACATGTCTCTACCTGGCACTAGTAGTTGGCAGAGCCAAAGGCCATATCAGGCCCTCCCACTTGGAAGTTCAGCTCCAATGATGACCTCTGGCTTTGCCTTTAATATGGAAGCAACCTGAGCTTTGATTTCTCCTCTATGTTAGGTACTGGCTTCAGCTAGCGTTTGCTAATGCTTCCAGAATACCATGCCCAGGGCCAATAGCTGCCCAAACCAATGGCTAGGACCTGGCAGACAGAGGGTCTTGGGCTTGGAACAGGGTGAATGATGGGAGGGTTGAAGCCATTTCCCAGGCCTCCTTGGCAGAGTGGGAGGAGGTGGGATAAAAATTGTCCTCCCCTTTTGCCCTCAAGCCAGGTAGCATGATCTCATGGGAGGGAGAGCACAAGAAGCATCAGGTGTCCCCTAGACCTGGGAACAAGTACATGAGGCTTTGGCCTTGAGCATCTGGCCCTCAGGAAGCCTCTAACTCCACTTTCCTGCCAGATCCGATGTATGCTCAACATATGGGGCGTGATCCTCTACCTGCGGCTCCCCTGGATCACGGCGCAGGCGGGCATCGGTGAGTGCTACCTCAAGGAGAAGGGAAAGCAACGTGCTTGCATTCTGGTCCCTTGGGCTATAGAGACTCCGAGCTAGGCCTGCTCCTCCCCAGCATACCCTCGGATGGCAGCAGCCATGGGTGAGGGTGGAGCAGAAGAGACCGTTGATTGTAGAGTCAGCACTGTCAGGGTACCTTGGTGAGCCAACTTCTATCACAGAGTATTTGTGCTTCAAACTGGGACTCTAAAAGACCAGGGTTCATATGCTGGGTAGCCTTGAGTTCCTAACCTTCTCTGAGCCTTGGTTTCCTCGTGGGTAAAATGGATCTGATAACAGTGCCTGCCTACAGAGCCGATGCACTGTTTGCAAGGCTCTGAAAAGCAGCACAGGCTATGGTGCCTAGAGAGGCTCGGTACACGGTAACTATTGCTTTCTTTTTATTGTCAAAGAGGGTGCCGTCCTTTCCATGCCTGGAAACTAGTCACACACTGGCACATGAACTTCCTATTAGTTGTCTCGCTGAGGAAGGTAGACAGACCAACCTTAACTTAGTCTGGGGAGACGTGTGTGTGTGTGTGTGTCTGTGTGTGTGTGTGTGTGTGTGTGTGTGTGTGTGTTCACATACGCTCATGCACATCATTGTATTTGAATGTGCAGAAGCCAGAGAAACCCTCAAGTATCTCCCTCAGGAGTGAGCTGCCTCCTTTGAGATGGGTTTTTCATTGGCCCAGATCTCACTAATTAGTTCAGCAAGTCCCAGGCACCTTCGGATCTCTACCTCCCCAATGCTGGGCTTGCAGGTGCATGCCACCCTGCCTAGACTTTTGTGTGGGCTGTGGAGATCCAACTCAGGTCTTCCTGCTTGCAAGCCAAGCACTTCACGGAGCACCTTGCTAACTCCCAGAAGCCCTGGCTTTTTGTTTCCATCTTGAGATAGAGTCCTGTATATCCCAGGTCTCAAACTCACAATTGTAACAACCAAGGATGACCTTAGAGTGTTAGCGACCAGGATTTCTAGCTACCAGGATTAAATGTGTGTCCCACCATGCCTGGATTATGTGGTGCTAGGGCTCAAACCCAGGCCTGGTGCTAGGCTAGCTCTCTCCCAACTGAGTTACATCCCTAGTCTTTGTGTTTAGTGAGCTTTATATTTGGAGTTTTTTTGGGGGGGTGAGGGTTGCTGTTGTTTGAAGCAGGGTCTCTGTCTCTATGTAAACTCGGTTGTTTTAGAGCTTGCTATGTAGATCAGGCTGGCCTTGAACTCACAGAGTTCCACCTGTGAATGCTGCCTTGTGAATGCTGGGATTAAAGACATGTGACATCATGCCCAGCTCCCTCTTTCTGCTTTCACCCAGGGCTTCTCTCTCTATTGCCCAGGCTGGCCTTGAACTCTCTACCTCCCAAATGCTGGGGTGACAGGCCTGCAGCTTGGTCTCTGGCTGAGACCCATTGTTCTTCAGATGACAAACTGAGACTCAGAGAAAGGGACTCAGGTCACATGGGGATTGAGGAGGCTGACCTGAGAAGTGTGTTGATTGAGTTTTGGGGTGCTCCCACTCACCCCCTCACAGTGCTAACTTGGATCATCATCCTGCTTTCTGTCATGGTGACATCCATCACCGGCCTCTCCATCTCGGCCATCTCCACCAATGGCAAGGTCAAGTCAGGTGAGTTCTGGGGTCATCTTTATCTGGACTCTAGGCTTTCTGAGCTACTGTCCCACCCCTGGAGTACCCCATCATGACCACCTTGCTTCTGATGGGGACTTGTGGGGGCTCTCTACCTCTCAAGGTAGTCTCCGTTGCCCACCCCATGGCCCTTGGTCCCGCCCCTCTGGCAGTACACTGTTTCTTCTCTGGCCCCCTGCTCTGCCCGCTAGGTGGCACCTATTTCCTAATTTCCCGGAGTCTGGGACCAGAGCTGGGGGGCTCCATTGGCCTCATCTTCGCCTTTGCCAATGCTGTGGGTGTGGCCATGCACACTGTGGGCTTTGCGGAGACCGTACGAGACCTACTTCAGGTGAGGGGCTGGGCATGGGGCAGAGGGAGCTGGGCAACCTCCCCACATTGCTCTTCACACTGGACCAGGCCTTCTTTCTCCTGCCTAATCTTACCTACCAGTGACCAAAGCTATGTCTGGTCACTTTGAGTGACAATAAAAGTCTATTACATATGGACTACCCTCACAAGACCCCCTTTAGGGTGCATGCTGCCTTTGGGCCGTGTTGTCCACACCCACACTGTAGCTCTTCGAAGGAGGGGTGAAGTAAGCCCTAAGTGAAGTGGGGGTGGGGGTCTGGAGGAGTAGAGGGGAAGACTGGACACACAGCTGGTCTGCTTCCCCCAGGAGTACGGCACACCCATCGTAGACCCCACCAATGACATCCGCATCATCGGTGTGGTCACGGTCACAGTGCTGCTGGCCATCTCGCTGGCTGGGATGGAATGGGAGTCCAAGGTGAGGAGGATGTGCTGGGAGAGAGAGGGTGGGGCCTGGCTCTGGTGACCTTTCCATCCCTGAGTGTGCCCATTATTGACCTGGACCACAATGGCCACCATCATCACAACTGTGGTCCAGGCAGAGGGAGACAGGGAAGAGTGAAAGAAAAGAAAGGAATTCTCTATCCATACTTTTAGGCTAAAGCAGACATTGTACATGTTGCTCCTGCTCACACCCCATTGGCCAGAACCTGCTCTTGTAGCCATACAGAGCTGCAAAGAGAGGCAAGAAAACGTGTACTTCAATCCCGCTAAATCCTGCATTCAACCAAATGTCGGAGGTTTCATATCAGGAAACAAAAGAAACGCTGGACTATAGCAGGCTGGACCAGAAGGGAGCCTTTGACTTGGGAGGGGCCTGGCCTGGGTGCCTCACTTCTCCATGTTGTTTTATGGCCTCCTGGCTCTTCAGTCTCCGGGTGGTTCTGTGCTTCACCAACCTTCCTCTCGGAAGTACCTGCTGCAGGGAATTACTACTCCAGACAACCTTACTAATGTAGCCCCCGACCTGACCCCATTATAGATAGCTCCTGTGTCTAGCCTCAGGCCAACTTGTTCACTGTCACATCCCTGACTCCTCATTGCCTGACTGAGATGAGGAGATAGTCACATGGTTAATGGAGTGAGAGATCACGCAGGCCCCTGGAGGCTGGAGTGGCCATCTGACCTCTGGTGTCCTTTACTGCAGGCCCAGGTACTATTCTTTCTTGTCATCATGGTCTCTTTTGCCAACTATCTGGTGGGCACACTGATCCCAGCATCTGAGGACAAAGCCTCCAAAGGCTTCTATAGCTATCATGGTACGTGACGTCAGGAGCCCCGGCGGTGGCTCTGTGAATGGGGACAGTTGGTCTGTGTATTTGACTCCTTAAATGGGCACAAGAGGCCAGGGTCTCTTCCCAGGGCCACAGGCTTCCAGGCATCCCGTTGCTGTTTGACTAGGCCCAGTTAGATGGCCAAGCCATGTGGGTGGCTCTGACTTAGGCATTGGTTTTCCAGGGGACATTTTTGTTCAGAACCTGGTACCCAACTGGAGAGGCCCCGATGGTAGCTTCTTTGGCATGTTCTCCATCTTCTTCCCTTCGGCCACCGGAATCCTGGCAGGTGCCAACATCTCCGGGGACCTCAAGGTAAGCAGAGGCTGCCCTAACTGTCTGGTACCACAGAGGACCCGCATCCTAAAACCCTGGTACCATTCCCAGGACTCCCAGCTCTGCCCTGAAGACTGACTTATTTGCTCATGACAGGCCGTTGTCTAAGAGATTTAGTATACCCTGTTCCGTTCTTGTTACTTTGCAAAGTTCTGCGCCTTTTTCAAATCCCTCCTGCAATGTCTCTGCCTGGCCTTCCATCCGCTATGGTGTGTTCCTGGGTGGGAGTGGGCCTACAGCCTTTGTAAGGCGGGACAAAGAGATGGGGGTGTGCCAGACAGTGGGCCAAAAATGGTATTGCGTTGAACTCTGACTTTAGTCTCCCTCCCCCTTGAAGGCGTTCCTCAATTGTGCTTCTCACAGAATTAAGAATTGGGCATGGTGGGCATGATAGTGGGCATGGTGGGCACTGCCTTGGAATCCCAGCCCTCATGAAGCTGAGACAGGAGGATCAGGAAAGTTGAAGATCATTCTTTCCTACACAATGTGTTCAGAGCCAGGCTGGGCTCTGAGAGGCACTGGTTTTGCCAAGCCAAACCAAGAGCAAACCCAGATGTTCTGGAGATGAGAGAACACATCCTGCTCAGCCAGCTAGGCCAGAACTTCCTAATGAGGCCTGGAGAGCAAGATGCTTGCTTACCACACTCTCCCAAGAGAGCAGCTGGCAGAAGGCCTTCAGCCTGACCTCTCTTCAAGCCCCATTAACTGTCAGTGTCATTGTCTTGGTTAGGGTTTTAATGCTGTAAACAGACACCATGACAAAGGCAACTCTTACAAAGACAAGATTTAATTAGGGCTGGCTTACAGGTTCAGAGGTTCAGTCCATTATCATCAAAACAGGAGCACACACCTGCTCCAACAAGCCCACGCCTAATGGTGCCACTCCCTGGGCCAAGTGTATTCAAACCATCACCGTCTTTAAAAGCTTCTCTCCCCAGTGCCCAGCATCAGGACCAGCAGCTATCTGAGAGCCGGGTGCAGTGGCACATTGCAGTGGCCGCTGTCCTCAGGTCTTAAGTTGGCTCTTGGGCTTGGCTCTGCCCTTCCTGTGGGATCCTGTTCTGCAGCAGGGCCTTCACTGTGAGTCTGGGCAATCTCTGAAAGCTTCAGCTTCCCAGCTGTAAAGCCAGAGTAACAGAGGAGGTGTAGACAGAGGGCTGATTCGTGTCAAGCACTTAGGGCAGAAAATGTAAGGGCAGGAAGCTGACTGTCATCTCTGCCCTGTTGCCACCACGCAGACTAGTAACCCAAGCACAGGGAGGGTCAGAGACTGACCATCGCCACACAGCGGTGCAAAGCCACACAGTATAAGCTTATAGACTAGAGAGGTCTCACTTAACACTATTTGTGGCTTGAAAAATGATTACTATGTGTGTGTGTGTGTGTGTGTGTGTGTGTGTGTGTGGTGTGCATGTATGAGTGCAGATGTGCACATGCTACAACATGCATACATAGGTCGGAGGATAACTTCTAAAAATTTGTTTTCTCTTTCCAGCATGGGATCTGGGGACCAAACTCAGGTTATCAGGGTCTGTACAAACACTTTACCCAGAGCTGTATCACTGATCCCATTTTATAGACTTTCACATAGTTTGTGTGTGCTCATACATGTAAGCTTAAGGATGTACACACAAGGTACATGCAGTAGAATTCAGGGGATGACCTTGGGTACTGGTGTTTTCCTTCCACCTTGTTTGAGACAGGACTTATTTACTGTCTGCTCTGGCACACACTGGGCTAGCTGGCTCATGAGCTGGAGATTCTCCTGTCCCTGCCTCCCATCAGTCCTTGGGAGCCCTAGGATGACAGACTCAAGCCACTGTGCCGAGCTCCGCGTGGGTTCTGGAGATCTGCGCTCAAGGGCTCATGTCTGTGTAACACTATGCTGGCCAAGGATGCAGAGAGTATGGCATGGTCCTCATCCATACTTCCCATTTACGAGTGCTTTTACACCGCGTGGGGAAACTGAGTCTCAGAGATATGGAAGGGCCTCCCAGAGCTAAGAAGAGATAGACTGGATTTGCAAGCCAGCCTCCAGACCTCAGACCAAGATAGGGACGGCAAGTTAAGCTGAGAACTAGGTGTTCTTCCTATGACTGCAAAGTCCTCACAACCCAGAGGCCTTAAAATACCCATGTCTCTGCTCAGGAGACTGAAAACCTCAGTGAAGGCGTTAATGACAAGCCTACACCCCTCTAAAGGTCTGAGGCTGGGTCCTTTCTAGCTTTGTCCTAGTTGTGTGGGGTCCTGACAATGCTGCCCTGAACTGGCTGTCATTTTAACCTGTGTCACTTTAACGATGGGTGACATCTCTATGTACCTCCTTCTTCTAATATGACACCAGTCATCAGCTGAGGCTCATTCTGATCCAACATGTAGCATGACCAGCTGTGCTCGGGTCTGGGAACGCTGACTAGGGTCAGTGAGGGAACAGAGGAAGGACAGACACATGTACAGGAACAGTGGAGTCTGGTGGAGGCTCAGCACTCCAGTGGAGCACACCTTCTGCCAACAGCAACCCAGAATCTCTGCACTAGGCATTCATTAAGTACAGCACAGGTTACCAGTCTTGGTAGGCAGTCTCTGTAGGTGAGCATCCTCAGGCTGAAAGAATCCCAGAGGAGGAAGAAGCTTCAGACGCTACCTTGTGTGTCTTTGTACACACGAGACACTCAGACTCCCAAGGAGAGCTTTGTCATCCCTTCACCAGGGTAAGGCTTTGTCACTCCATTAGGGCTAAGGCCTCAGAGACCTTGACACAGTCACTCAGGGAGTCCCTGCTCCCTGAAAGAATGACCTCATCCCTACTTACACCTCCAAGGACCTCCTTTCAAATAAGGGCACATTCTGAGGTTCTGGGTGGATGCGTATTGAGGAGGACAGAGAATATTCATCACTGTAGATATTGGGTTAAGAAAACAGCTGAGGCCTGGGAAGTCCTTTGGTGTGAGAAACTCCAACAGCTCCACATTCAGATGGCTGTGACCTTTTGGAATTAGGGCCAGGACCTCACTGGACACAACTCAGGTCACTGGGTATCGCTAGTAAGGCTAGGGTCATAGGATCCTCTAACAGAGGCTCCAGCAGACTCAAGTCTCCTCAGGGTTGTAGCCTCCTTCCCCTGAGGAGCCCTGCTTTCATTTCTCCTCAGCCTGTCAACCTGCCTTGTAGGTTGTGATCTGTCTACTGGGACTCACAGGGCACTGGAAGGTTTGCAGTTAATTCATGGCAGGCTTGGCCTTCCCCTTGGGTTAGGGTATGGGCCTCTGGATGGAGCAGTAATTGAGCTTGCTGCGGAAAAGCAGCCTGTGTGGCTGCTCATGAACAGGCTCCTGGAGTCTGAGGCTGCAGGTCAGGACTACGGGCACCGGGAGCTCTGTAAAACCATCGTCCTCGCATCCCGCCACCCTCAGTTCCTCACTAGCTGGGTAGGATCGTATGGGCCATATCTCGGGAAATTGTGTTAGAAAAAAGTGCCCAGAAGGAGAGTGCTATGATCTATCGGGGTGGGTGTAGGGCACGGGAAATGGTTGTCAGTACTGTTGGGGAAAATCTCTTTCTTGGAGCAGGAGAATGCTTGGGGAATGTCTTCTGTCTCTTTATTGCCGGAGAGCCAGACAATTTAATTAGTTAATGGCGATTTACTGTGACACATAGAACTAGTGAAGGGGGTCTGGCTGCATTTCCAGCTGTAGCCGGCTACCGCAAGTGAGTCCTAGGCAGAGAGCCAGACACAGGCCCCCTCACCCCACTACCCCCAGTGAGCCTTACCATGGGTCCCCTGAGTGTGATATGAAGCTGATGAGGTTTCTCACCTTACTGGTTTCAACCCTGGGGTCCCAGGGTGATGGCTGTCTTATAGGTCCTTAGCAGTGGCCCCTCTTCTTTCAGGGCTGGGCAGATTCTAAGGGTCCAGGGTCAGGATCTGCTGCTCACCCTGGCCTCTGCCAAGGCACTGAGGCCCAAAGGGATCCCACAGGCTGCCTGATAATACCATGTCCTCCCACAGGACCCTGCTGTAGCCATCCCCAAGGGAACACTCATGGCCATTTTCTGGACCACCATCTCCTACCTTGCCATCTCAGCTACGATCGGTGAGTAGCCAGCACAGCACGGATGGAGAGAACGAGAAAAGTGGGTTGGCCCTGTAGTAGGGCTGGAGGAGGCTGCAGTGTGGGGCAGCCTTTGAGCCCTGTTTCTGGGGCACCTGTCACCTCTATAGTGACAGGGCATCTTCATGGTGAGGGAGGCCAGACCAGCCTCCTCTGATACCTCAAGACATTGCGGTTCCAGATTCCTGTGTGGAGACCATGCACAATGTTTAACGATCATGTTTAATCTGGGCACTGCCATTGGCTTCACAGAAACCCAGGGCTCTGAGGGGTAGAACCTCTGGGTACTCTCGTTTCCAGTAGCCACCTTGGAGGCGAGCTGTTCACAGGTGGCCAGGGGACTCCAACTTTCTCATGGGCACTCAGGGCATAAGAGTCAGGACTCTGCTTTAAGGACATAGCACACAACCACTCTCCCTGCCTTGGGTGAAAAGGGGGCTGCAACAAAAATAAGAGTATTGCCTTGCTCGGATTGTCAGGTACCCCCAAATACCTCCGTACCTGCTACTATCATTAACACTGTCACATGATAAGCAGACCTGTCCACAGTGTCTCACCCTCTGCAGAGGTGGCCAGCCTTTGGGGATGGGGGAGAGGGCAAAGCAAAGGACAGACGGGAAGAAAGGACACACACACACACACACACACACCTCCCTCCTTTCAGGCTCCTGTGTGGTGAGAGATGCCTCTGGGGATGTGAATGACACCATGACTCCTGGCCCAGGTCCCTGCGAAGGGCTAGCCTGTGGCTATGGCTGGAACTTCACAGAGTGCTCCCAACAGCACAGCTGCCGCTACGGCCTCATCAACTACTACCAGGTATAAGCCGTGGGCCTGGCTGCGGGACCCCCAAGGCCAGAGAAGTAGTGGAGACTGTGGGGTCTGAGATGTCAGGACCGAAGCCTGCTGTGGGGCAGGGATGCCCAGAACTGTTTCTAGCTCAGCATCCCCACATTCCCACAGACCATGAGCATGGTGTCTGCCTTCGCACCCCTGATCACAGCCGGCATCTTTGGGGCCACCCTGTCCTCTGCCTTGGCCTGTCTTGTCTCTGCTGCCAAGGTCTTCCAGGTGAGGTTGTAGAAAGGGGTCACTGGGAGTGGTGGGTTATGTCTGGGAAGAGCTGAGTAGGAAGATCCCTGCTTCTCCACCCCACCCCACCTCCAGCCCCCCTCCTGCTACTGTGAAGTGGGTCATGTGATATGGGTCTGGTGGAAGGGAAGGGAAACAGGTTAGCAAATTTTTAAAGGAAGTAGCCCTGTCACCTTGGCGAGGTGAGGGCTGGCGATCCCAGAAATCAAAACCTACTGAAGTCCTGAAGGGGGCCTCACAGAGTCAAGGGCCCTGGGGAGAGCAAAGGGCAGGGTCTTAGCTAGGGTTTGAGTGTGGTGTTCACTGTCCACAGTGCCTGTGCGAAGACCAGCTATACCCTCTGATTGGCTTCTTTGGCAAAGGTTATGGCAAGAACAGGGAGCCTGTGCGTGGCTACCTGCTGGCCTACGCCATCGCTGTGGCCTTCATCATCATTGGTAAGAGGCTCCGCCTCCTGCTCCCTGTGAAGATCCTAGAACCCATTCCCCTTACCCCTGTGTCACTGGGCACTTGGTGAACAGCACTTATTTGGTGTTTCGGAATGAAACTAAGGCCAGGCACATACTGAACACGTGCTTTACTATTGAGGCACACCCCAGTCCCAGTGCATAAACTTTTGTGTGGGTGAAGCCCAGCCTGGAAGGCCCTTGGATGGCCACGCAATCCTTTCCCACCTCCAGATAGGGTGGCCTACCAAGCCACACCAGGTCATGTTGTTAAGAGGAAACTTCTGTGCCTTTCCTGCTTCTGCATTCCAGTGTCCTGACAGCTGAGACACCACTCCATCCCCAGGACACCGGTGGAGTTGGGCCAAGCGGATACAAATGGCTAGCTTAGTCATTATCCGTGTACATGCATAAACTAGACAGAGCCAGCCTCTCACCCAAATAACAGTTAGGCCGACTGGCCTCTGCTGGCTTTGCCCTGCTCCTGCTATACGACTGTTGCTAAGTCATTTCTCTGAGCCGCATTTTGCTCAGCTGTAATGTCAAGGGGCAGTGCATAGCTCGTAAGCCACAGATAGGCAGAAAGAGTCCGTGTGAGGGCACAGTCCCATACAGATGCACTTACCCAATATGTCCTGGATAATTCAGCCAAGGAAGCAGAATTCGAAAAGGAAAAGCGACTACCCTATAACGTGACATCCCCTGCCTGGTTCCCTATGCTTTCTGTGGAAAGCCCCACTCCCTCCCCTCCCCTCCCCACACCCTCTCTCGCAGGCACCTTCCTGTTAGAGTCAGATCCCTGCTGCTCAGGTTGGTCCCATTAGTCACCTACCCATAAGACTTGCCCTAATAGTCTGGTTGCTATCGCCCAAAGGAAGATTCTAGACACCAGATCCTGCATCGAATGAAGGAGTGTCTCACCTAGGAGACAGAGAAGTCTAGTCGTCTGGCCTTCCCAAGATCCACCCCTGTCTCCTGATGCTCAAGCACAGGCCTATTTCTTATAGCCGTAGGCTTCTGGGTGGTACCTTTGGGCTGATGATTCTGACTTAGCCAAAGTGAAGACTATGATCGTAAATATTCAAGGGGACCTAATAAGATTATGTACCTGTCCCCAAAGAGCTGCTTGTCTTTCTTTGGGCTCCCCAGAGAGACCCTAAGTTCGACATGCATACGTTTATGTGAGTGTACTGGGGAGACCCGTCCTTCCAGCACATGGGTGATGGATCAGGCCAGCAAGCTTGGTAGGAAGCATCCTTAGCAGCTGAGTGATCCTGCCAACTCCCTCCGTCTTCTTAAAAACCGACGCATAGGTTTTCTAAGACACTGACCCTTGCAACTTCACGGGGCAAAGGACTCGCTTCCCAGATGAGAAGGTTGAGTTAACTGAGCATCCCGGCCTGGCGGTGCTCACCCAGTAAGTGTGTGCCAGGCAGCTCCTGTGGCGGAGCCCAACACGTTGCCTCTCTCTCCCTGGGTCTTCGAAGCTGAACTCAACACCATCGCTCCCATCATTTCCAATTTCTTCCTCTGCTCCTACGCCCTCATCAATTTCAGCTGCTTCCATGCCTCCATCACCAACTCGCCTGGTGAGCAGACCCTCTCCCAATCACAGGAAGACGTGGGGAGGAGCTGGGAAAAGAGGGGGAGGCGTGGGTGGAGGAGGGCAGTCTAAAGCCACCTTAGTTTAAAACCACGTGAAGGGAATCTCTGTACCCTAACAAAGCCAGCCATCCTTTACCGAGCACAGTGCATCCTTTACAGGAAATGGAGGTTGTTCTATAGTTCCACCCTTCACCAATTTCTCCGTGTCAGAAGTCTTGATTCCTCAGAAAGGGATGAATTAATTTCCCAGTCACAGAAGGCGCAGCTGTTTGTGTACATATCACCGCTAGGGGGCGCTGTTCCATACTGCAGCAATTTAATTGCATGGATTTTGGGAGCGGCGGTGCTGCTTCTTCTGTTGCTGCAAACCTAGCAGATGGCAGTAGAGAGCAGAGGAATAGTTTTGCTAATGAATCCTACATCTTCAAAGGGCCTGTTATTCCGACACTTTCCATACAGACCACAGTGTGCCTGGCACTCAGAGTTGCGCCATGGTACAGTGGTCACTAGAAGTGGCCCTAACCTAGTACAGAGCCAGGCAGAATCAAGTCTCTTCCCATCCCTTTAATCTCCTGGGTTCCACAGGACCCTTGGGATCTGGTACTGTTGCTGATGTTGGGGCTGTGTTTGACCAGGGCTGGATGTTCCATTCCTGGTATAGCTTGTCACCATGGAGAAATAAATGCCCAACAGGCAAGGTTGTGGTACTTCCTAGAACCTCCCCACCCTACCCCGGGAGTTAAGGCTAGTGGGGCCCTAGGGGTAGTGGGTATAGGCCAGGACCTCAGCAATGGGTGTGGAACATTGCTGTACCTCTGGGAGGGAGAAGGCTCCTGAGCATGCGCATGTGCACTGGCCTGGCCCCGCCCAGGATGGAGGCCCTCCTTCCGATACTACAGCAAGTGGGCAGCGCTCTTTGGGGCAGTGATCTCGGTGGTCATTATGTTCCTGCTTACCTGGTGGGCGGCTCTCATTGCCATCGGAGTTGTTCTCTTCCTCCTGCTCTATGTGATCTACAAGAAGCCAGGTATGTGGCCGCTGTCCCCTGGGGCTCAACTCCCTACCTGGGTAGCCATACAGCCAGGCCTACCCCTCATCCTAGCTGGAGCCTGGCCTTGGCCTCACCTTTAAGTGGGATTCAGGCTGGCCTCCACCGCAGCCTTCCTGAGCTGCCCACTGAGAGCCAGACTTCTACTGGCAGATTTCTAGAGGGGCTACCTGCTGGCGTGTACATACAGGGCAGGGTGACCAAGAATGACTGTGCAAATGTGGGCATGTATCAGGGTCCTGGACGGATTGCAGTCTGAGGGAGGTAACTCTCGAACTCTACATCTGAGCGTGGCCTTCTAGATGACCTCAGAGATCTGCTTGTCAAATGGGAGTTCAACCCTTAGCTCTATGTCCTTGAATTAGGTGACGATATATGTGGCACTTGACCAACCTGCACTCATTAGGAACAGAGCTGCCGGCTCTCTATCCATCCCCGGCCTTGCTCCCAAGGTGCTCTGTGCCTAAGAAAGATGGACAGTCCCTTCCCCCCTCCCCCACATGACTGGTCGCTTCCGGCAGTTTTGAGTCTTGTTCTCCGCCCGCAGAGGTGAACTGGGGCTCCTCAGTACAGGCTGGCTCCTACAACCTGGCCCTGAGCTACTCCGTGGGCCTCAATGAGGTGGAAGATCACATCAAGAACTACCGGTGAGCAGGGCTTCTCGGCTAGCTGGGAGCCTGGAGTCAGCCATGTTCCTCTGCCCTGGCAGGTCCAGGATAGAATACCAGGATGGTAGTAGCATCAAGGTGGACGAGCCAGTGCAGGACTGGGGTTGGCACTGCCTGATAGAGGCAAAGCAAGGGAGAGATTCTTGTGTCTCAGCTCCCACAGTGGAAGCCACGTTGTCAGGTCCGATTCCCATGACACAATCCTGGGTTGGTGGCAGTGACAAGCCTGCTCTGAGGTTGCCCTTCAAAGCTGGTCCCCAATGGTGAGGGAAGTCACTCACCTTCCTCTCACCTGGCTGTAGTAGATTCAGTAAGATCTATGACCCACCTACTGTAACCGAAGACGAAGTTTGGAGATGTTAACTACCCCTGTTTGCCCAGCTGGTAAATGAACCACTGAGTCTGGCTTTGATTGGCAGGGATGTTTAACCTGTGCTGCCTTTCAACACAAAAGTTCAGGTACCAGTGAGTTTGTAAACAATGGCTTCCTTATGACTGATCTTTCCTCTGCTTTTACCACACTGGGGTTGGCGGGCAAAGGAAGTACATAGACTGGTGTGTCTGCTGGCCCAGGCAAGAAGAACAGAGATACTTATAGTATCATAACCTAAAACAAACAAACAAACAAACAAAAACCCTGAAAGATCCCTTGAGTCACAGCTGGAAAAATGTGTCCCAGTGCACACAAATCTCATCTAAAGCCATCAGGATTCAGACCCTAAAGGCGCTTTCCTGACACCTCATGCTGTGTTCTTCCTTCTCCTAGACCCCAGTGCCTGGTGCTTACAGGGCCCCCCAACTTCCGCCCAGCCCTTGTGGACTTTGTGAGCACATTTACCCAGAACCTAAGCCTGATGATCTGTGGCCACGTGCTCATTGTGAGTGCTCCTGGGGGCTTGGGAGGGACACCTGTACCCTGGGGAATGGGGAGACCTGGATGCATTATCTACCCAGGGACAGGAGGGGCAGGGGAAGTGGACCTAGTAGAATCTGGCCAGGTCCTTCTTTCAAAACATGATCTCAGGAAGCCCAGGCTGGCTCAAGTTCACTGTGTAGCTGAGGCTGACCCTATGTCTACCACCCAAGACACCCAAGTCTAGCTTCCGTTCTCCTTCACTTTCCCTCATCTGCTCTAATCAAGAACACCACTCGGTGCTTCCGAGTCTCAGGGGAATCTCTAGGACAGGAGAAGAGCTGAGCAGGCTAGATGGTGAGGACAGCCATGATACCACCTGTCCCTCACCCACAGGGACCCGGCAAGCAGAGAGTGCCCGAGCTCCGGCTCATCGCCAGTGGACACACCAGGTGGCTGAACAAGAGGAAGATCAAGGCCTTCTACTCTGATGTCATAGCTGAGGACTTGCGCAGTGGCGTCCAGATCCTCATGCAGGTGTCCTGGCCAGGCTTCCCGCAGGACTTAGTGAGGCAGCTTGCACAGCAGAACACGCTGGTCTAGCTTAAACTTCAGTGACTTCAGTGGGCGTCCCCCACTCGCTATGTCTCAAGCTGTGCTGGCTCAAGAGAGCCCAGGACTTCTGGGAACCTGTGGGGATTGTGTGGCTTTGCCTAGATCCTGTTTCTGCTTTATTTTAGTTTAGTTAAATTTAGTTTAGTTTTAGTTTTTTGTTTTGGTTTTCTTTTTTCCTTTCAGTATCAGTATTGGGCCGAGGGCCTTAGTGCCTTTTTTACTAAACAAACAAAAAAGTGTCTGAGACCGAGTATCACTAAATTATCCAGGCTGGCCTTGAACTTGCTCTGCAGCCCAGGTGAGCTGTGACTTGCAAGTCCTCCTGTTTCATTTTCCTAGCTAGCTGGGAAGTCTTCCCCCATTTTATTTTTTTTAGATATAGTTTACACTTAGCAAAATGAAAACCATGAAGTGTCCAATGTTTGCATATGCGACCATTACACCGTGGTATATAACCATCACTCAGATTGACACCTAGAATGTTCCACTGGACAGTGAGTTCTCTCCTCCATGTCTTCATGGGAAACATCTGAGAATCCTTTTCAATGCCTTTAGCTGTTTCTCAACTTGAAAAAAAAAAAAGGAAAACAAAAACAAAAAAACCATGTGAGAGGTCTCTCTTGAGTTTCCTGAAAATGGTTTAGAAGTAGGTGGAGAGAATGACACAGTGAAGTGTGCACTTGGTGTCTGGTTGTTTTGTGGGTTTCTTTTTTCTTTTGTTTTGTTTGAGACAAGTAACCACCAGTAACCACCGTGCAGAGCGTGTTAGCTTTTGACTCATTGTTGCCTGGTGTGCCCCAAATTCCTCAGACTCACACAAAGAACGTCCTGTCTTAGCTTTGGGGGATGGGGGGTTGAACTTGGGGATCAAGTACAGGGTTTCTTGGGTGCTAGGCTAGTGATCTAGCACTGAGCAAAACCATTATGTGCCTCATCTTCTTGGTAGCTATGACTACAGCTAAGTATACCATGCCCAGATAGATGGATGGATGGATGGATGGATGGATGGATGGATAGATAGATAGATAGATAGATAGATAGATAGATAGATGGAAGACCTACATAGATATAGAGAGATATGTGAGTTTGTTTTGAATTGTATACTTTGAAATGATTAATTTCTTTTAGCGACAAGGTCTAACAGTGTGGCCCTGGCTAACTGAAACCGTCCATGTAGATCTTCAGGCTAATCTCTAATGCACAGAGATCTGCCTCCTGGCTCTCCCTACGCTAAAATGGTCAACTTACTACATTGATTTCACTCCAAATATTTTAAAGAATCCTGACATAGAAAAGGGAGGAGATGGAGAGGCAGGGGGAAACAGAGGGAGGTGGGGAAGGAAAGAGAGGAGGGAGGGGGAGGGGGAGCGAAAGGGAAGACCCTGACAGGATGTGAACTTCTGTAACTCCCGCACTTTGGAAGCAGAGGCAGAAGGATTGACAAAAGAGGGAGAGAGGGAAGAAAGTGGGAGAGACAGGGAGGAAGGGAGAATATTCAGACTAGGTGACCCAAGGGTCCTGTAACCTGACATACAAACTCAAGTCTCATGCTTTCTGTATAGACAGAACCCTGAGCCCCTTGCAGCCTGGATGGGAGGGGGTAGCCGGGAGGAGCAAGAGCCCCTCCCTGGTCATTTGTCACAGGACAGAGCCCCTGCTGATCGTAGGGCCTCAGTGCCAGACCACTTTCTGACTTGACTCTTCTCCCCTGCCCCGGTAGGCCTCAGGGCTGGGAAGGATGAAGCCCAACATTCTGGTGGTCGGATTCAAGAGGAATTGGCAGTCTGCCCACCCAGCCACTGTGGAGGACTACATTGGCATCCTGCAGTGAGTGAGCATGCAGGTGCAGCCTATGAGCTGTTGGTTTGGGCCACTGGGACTTCCTGGGTAGAGGGAAGTAGAGCAGAGGCCCTGTGTAGACACCTGAGTCACTTGCTGAGGTGGAGCTAACAGAGGGTGTCTCCCCCTGATCATCACAGACACTGAACTCAGCAGGGATTTGGCAGCAGAGAGTGGAATGGGCCAGGTGTGAGACTGGGGAGCAGTGGGGACTGTGGCAAACTGGAGAAAGCACTGGCCAATTGTGCTCCTGGGATGCAGGCTTGGGGTCACAGGAACTTTCAGCTTTTCAGAGGGTCCAAGAAGTGTGGTGGTTAAGGGAGAAACCCTTGAAGGCTCACAGTTGCTGGGCTCACAGCTGTGAGTTGGGACATCGAGCAGAGATGGGAGCTAGGCCTGAGGACAGTCCTGGAAGGTTTCAACATTGACTCTCAGCCTCAGCTCTTGCCCTTGTATATCTAGGGAGTGCCTGTCTGGATTGCCTTTCCACTGTTGTCCCACACAGAGGGAAGTACCATCAAAATGTAAGGCTGAGCTTTGAGGCCCTGAAACCTACATCCGGGTCTGCTGTTAACCCACTATAGAACTCAGCTCTGACAGTAGCTGTTCCTAATACAACATGTCATGGGGTAGAAAATCTGGCCCCAGGCTTCCTGGGGCTCCAGTGTCCAAGGCAGTCTGAAGGCTAAGCATAGCCTAATGGGTCAGACCCTCAGGGAGACCTTGGTATTATCAGTGAGTCAGTAAATATACTCTTGGGTCAGAAGTCTTCCACACATCCTTTATAGCTGATGTGTCATGTGAGGGAGGCCATGCCTGTGCAGACACCTGTCCGTTGGCTTATAGTCCCTGCCACATAATCTTTGTCCCATTGGTTCCTTACTGTCTGACTATGAGGAAGCTGCCCCCACCACAGCACAGATTTTCCTGTGTGAAGTGGAGGTTAGAGTCACCAAGCCCCACTACTGTGGGCAGAGAGGTTGACAAGATCAACTCATGAGTGTGACATGAAGCAGGGCCCAATTTGGTTTCCCCAGTAGTGTCGTGGATGACATTCCAGTACTGCCTGTCTACAACACATATATGGAAACTGAGGCCCACAGACCAATGCTAGACATCGAATCTCCTGGGAGCCAAGTCACAGAGCCAGCAGCTTGACCCTGCATCTTCTTTCTAGTGATGCCTTTGACTTCAACTACGGGGTGTGTGTCATGAGGATGCGTGAGGGGCTCAATGTCTCCAAGGTGCTGCAGACGCACAGTGAGTACACGCTGCATCTGATCAGCCCCTGTTAAAAACCAGTGCAGTGGAGAAGGGGGAAAAGTTACTCAAGTCATGGACTCGGAGATAGCCAGTTCCTAATGGTCCCTTGGAGTCCATCGGTTTACAAAGGGAAGTGAGATCTGGAAAGGGCAAGCGACCGACTGGGTCAAGATCATGCTTCTAGCTAGGGCCAGAAAGGAGACCAGAGCCCTCCAAGTCACTGTTGTGCTCTGATAATCAGGTAGGTAAAGAGGACCCGATAGAGGAAAGGTATCTAGAAACACCACAAAGAAAATATCTAACGGCCACTGACTCTGACCATTGGATCTCAGGTCTGTCCTTGGTACTCAAAACAGGAACGTGTTTTGCAGCATTTGGAAGTTGCACCTGCCTATGGAGACTCTGAGTTAGTGATAGACAAAAAAGGGTGGTCAGGACTGGCAGACATGCAGGCAGGACTCTGGTCCTTGCAGGCAGGGGTATTGTTCCCCTGGGCCAAAGATCTTCCTGTCCATAGCATCTAGACAACAAATGTTTATGCAGCCATTGTGGCAGTCAGCAATCACACTCTCAGCAGGGAACAAAAAGCTCCCCCAACCCAGGGTGGTGAGCCTCTAGGGACAAGGCCAATGCTCAGCATAGTGGACACATGGGTCACCTCAGACATGAGAGGATCCTGGGGAGGTGGATGCTCAGAGGCCGCTCTGAGGACAAGGCCTGCCTGATGCTGAGGAGGTGGAGAAAGAATGGCTCATGTGGGGCACCCTCTTCCCTGAGGCAGTGTGTCTGGTGGAGGAACAGGACAAAACAGCTGGCTTGTGGGAAGCCAGGGCAGAAGCCAGGGCAGAGGGAAGCAAGCAACAGCCAGGTACCCTGGGGGAAGAGGCAGGGAACTTTCTTATAGTGTTAGAGGGGCCTCAGAAGCTGAGGGGCCCAGCATGCTTTATAGGCAGGAGTGCCTACAGGCCAGATGCCCCCCTTTTCGCAGTTAATCCCATGTTTGACCCAAGAGAGGGAGGCGAGGGAGCCAGTAGCAGAAGGGTTAGGCCATCTGTGTCTGGCATGGCTCAGCCCCCCTCCCCTACCTGCTCAGATCAGGGTACTCTTGTCTTATGGGGATGCCAGTGTCAGGTCGTCCGGGAATCTGGCCAAGAGTAAATGGCTTTCTCTTGTGACAGTGGTGTCCTACTATCCAAGGCTGGGTTACTGTAGGTTTTGGTTTCCTGTTGAAGATGACCAGCCAGTGGTAAATTTAGTTCCACTCCTTGTAAGACTTCCTCTCAGTTGCTCAAATGCCATATGCAGAGAGGAGCAGCATGCAGTTGCCTTCTTTTAAAGAAGTGGGGAAAGTGGCAGCTAGTAAAAGGTTGTCCCGCTACATCTGTGCGGGGAAGAAGGGGTACAGGAAGATGGACAAGCTCCATCTGCACAGGGATGCTGTACAGGGGTGCTGCACAGGGATGTTGCACACAGATGATACACAGGGATGGTACACAGGGATGCAGCACAGGGATGTTGCACACAGATGATACACAGGGATGGTACACAGGGATGCAGCACAGAGATGCTGTACAGGGATGCTGCACAGAGATGCAGCCGAAATGGAAGAGTGTTCGTCCAACTAGTAGTCCCCCAGTGCACATCAGCATCCAGAGAGAGGAAGCTGGGAGCCAGGAAGGGGTTCACATAACACTATATGAAGCAAGCATGGGAAGAGACATTAGCTGTGTCTAGCCAGGCCTGCAGGATGCCTCTGGCTCACCTTGGTGACAGTGGCTAGCCCACCTCTCTGGAAAAGCTGACTATTTCCAACTGGGTCCTGCCAGTGAGCCTGCTGGCTTGGCTATGACCTTCCCCTTCTTCAGCAGCCCCGGAGGCATTGGTACAGGAGGAGCAGGCCAGCACCATCTTCCAGTCGGAGCAAGGCAAGAAGACCATCGACATCTACTGGCTGTTTGATGATGGAGGTTTGGTCCCCTCACACCCGTTTCTGTCCCCTGGGAGTTTCTGCCCTCAGGATCTCTGCATATCCTGGCATGCCGTTCTGTGTTGTGCTTGCTGAGGCCTCTGGTGGGAACTAGAAGCCACCAAAGTGGCGAGATGCCTTAGCCTGCCCTGGTTTTAAAACACAGCCCTCAGCTTTGATGGCTGTGCCTTTGATAGAGTAAGAAAGAGACCACAGCCCTGCCCTAGTTGAATACATCAGCCCTCTGTGTGTGTGGGTTCCACAGGAGTCCTGTCCTACTGTAGACCAAAGTACTGAAAAAGAAAACCATGTCTGACTGAACATGCATAAACTAATTTTCCCGTCAGCGTTTCCTCCACAATTAAACCCAGGAGCAATTTTCGTGGTACCTCCTCTGAGGCAGGGATGATAGGAGAGGGCCTAAGGGATATACAAGGCCAGGTGTAGGTTCCATACAGACCCTATACTACTCTCTAGAAGGTATGTGGCACCTGCAGATCTGGGCATCTGAGGGCAGGTCCTGGAGCCAGTCTCCCTGTGGCTATCCAAGAGTAACTGTGTAGCTCGTTAATGACACCTTTGCAAGCTGGGATGCGCCTGGCAGCAAGTGCTCTTGTGGATTTAACCGAATGCAGTGTCTTTCTCTGCAGATAAGGAAACTGAACCACAGGGATCTCATGGTGGTTGGGCCTTGGCCTTATAGAGAGAGACGACAGGGAGGGTGGCTCCTACTTCTTGGTCATGTGTTCAGTTTTCAAGAAATAAATGAAGATCATCCTGATCTTTACCTGCAACCACCCTCCCTGCCTCACGTGCCAGATACTCAGTGCCAGCCTGCTTGTTTAAAACCACATCATTGGCTGGCCATGGTATTATATACCTACAATCCCATCACTTGGGAGATAGAGGCAGGAAGATCACTAGTTCAAAGCCAGCCTCAGCTACATAATAAAACCTTGTCTCCAAAAGGCCAAATAATCATATTTCTGAAAAATAAAGAGCCAAACTCCTGCATTAGCCAAATAAACCACAACCCACTGAGCACCATGGCCAGTGCATTGATTTAGTCTGGCAAGCTTCCCCACGGGTGAGGAGCTAAGGTCCAGAGAGGAGAGGGTTTGCTGTGGTGGTGTGGGGTGGAAACACACAGAGGGCTCTGTCCTGAGTCCTTTCCTCTCGGCTCCTGGGGATCGTCCCTGCCAGGCCTCACCCTCCTCGTCCCCTATCTCCTGCACCGCAAGAAGAGATGGGGCAAATGCAAGATCCGAGTGTTTGTTGGGGGCCAGATCAACAGGATGGACGAAGAGAGAAAGGCGTAAGTGGGGACCACAAGGGCTGTGCTGACCTGCCATCTTGCCTTCCCGAGGCTGCCAGACTCCCTGTCCCTGTGCCCTCCAGCTCTGCCCATGGGTGGCCCTGAGGTTGTCCCAAAGCCGAGGCCAGCCTCTCTCCAGCTCACAGTAATGGTGCCTGGGGCTCATGCAGGAGCTCTGTCCATTTCCGAAGGGTTGGCTTCCGGGCCCACCTTAAGGAGACGCAAGCGTCCCGGTGTTTGCTCTGATAGGAACATGTGGTAAGTGCTGAACTTTCAAGACTCTACAAGGACTGACTCATGGAATGGCAGGCCAGAGGTAAGTGAAGCAAGATTAGAATGCTTCCTGACAGTGTCCCCAGAGTAGGGATGCAGGCTCATGGGAGACATGAGGTGGCCAGGAGATGCAGTAGGAAAAAATTGGAAAGTCGCACCGAGTGTCACGGTGAGGAGTGACTTTTAGTTCCCTTTCAGGTCTCTGGATAATTTGGCAGCAGATCTTGGTGTAAAACTGGCCTGGTCTTGAGCTCAGCTGGACTTCTAAGCAAACAGAGCAGGCCTGGATCACTGGCTTGGCAGGCAATGTCATCTGCCTAGAATTTGGTGACACTGATATATTTATATGGGTTTTATTATAACCTCTTTCTGCTTTCTGCTTCAATTAGGAGATAAAATTTGCTTCTGAAATATATCTTACTTAGACCCCTTTTAATGACTATAACAAAACACCTGAGGCAGTCTGTCTCATAAAGAAAAGAGGTCTTATTTTTATCATGGTTCTGGAGTTTCAGTTTAAGGGCCATGTCTATTGACATCCTTCTTGCTGCCAGACATCTAACATGATGGTGACACAGGGTATCATATGGCAAGATACTGGATGTGTGTGTGTGTGTGTGTGTGTGTGTGTGTGTGTGTGTTCTTCCCTTTTTCTTATGAAGCCTCCAAAGATCAGTTCAACCACGGGATAGAAACTTAGTGACCTGGCTTCAATCTGAAACATGTTCCAAAGTTTCTATCCATAAACACCAGAACAGGATTCTATTTCCATGATCTCACTCCCACTTGCTGAGGATTAGAATTTAACCTGAGTTTAAAGGGTAAACAGTATGCAAATCACAGCATTAAGACAGAATGTGACTTGCCTTAAATAAACGCAGAAGTGCACAGAGAGGTGTGGCCATGGCCGTGTTGAGTTGGCCTGAGTTGTAGGGGAGGAGTTGGGGCAACAGTGACTTTTCAGAGGAGGGAAGTAGGAGCAAAGGTCATAGATGAGACAAGCTCAGACAAACGGTGGCGGTTTGTCCAAGGAAGGGCCTGGTGCAAACTCCAGCACAGGACAACAATAGGAGGTGACCCCTGGCCTGTACCACTCTTCCTACACCAGAATCCCCCCCCCCCCCCCCCGTTCTTTCTTCTGCTCACCCCATGAGTTCAGGGAGGCCCAGCATACTGCCTTCTCCCTCAGCCCCCTGTACCCTGTGAGAACTTCACCACCAAAAGGGCCTCTTTGGCAAGGTCACTGACAGCACTGAGAACAGCAGCCACCTGGCTTTCAGGACTTTTAAAGAGTAAACAGGCCAGAAGGCTCTCCAGCAGTCTGTACTTCCTGTCCCAGCTCTAGATGGCAGCTGGGTTCCCTGAGGTTTGCTTAGCTCAAGGTGGCCCCATTGGGTAACAGCATGTCCTTCTTACAATGATCATAAAAAACCCTCTGTCCCAACTGCTACTTAGCAGGTCATGTGATCTGCTGGCCCTATGACCCAAGGACTGCTTGGGCTCCTAACCGATACCTGGATGAAGCTGCCCCGCTTCTGGGAATGGAACACTGGTTATGTTTTCTGAGTGCGCAGGAAGCCCTGGGTATATAACACACAGTGCTGAATGCACAGAGTGTAGCAGCAAGCATTTGGGAGGGGGATGCAGAAGAGGCAGAAACTCAAGGTCAGCATGGCACATACCTTTAGTCCTAGCACTTTGGAAGCAGAAGCAGGCGGATCTCTGCGAGTTCAAACCAGCCGAGTCTACAGAGCTAGCTCCAGGATAGCCAGGGCTACACAAAGAAACCCAATGTCAAAACAACAACAACAACAACAACAACAACAAAAAACAAACCAAAACCAACCAACCAACAATAACAAAGGCATAGCAGGCTGGGGGAGGGACTGGAGAGGTGCTTCCCCAGTTTATTACACTGGCTGCTTTTATAGAGCACTCAAGTTGGAGTCCCAACACCCACATAGGGCAGCTCACATTGTTAGAACTTTGGCTCCAGGGGATCTGGTATCTTCTGGCCTTCTCAGACACCCTTACACACATGGCATAAACACACACATACATGTAAATAAAATTAATCTTAGAAAAAAAATTTAAGTCCCACCTCTAAGCCGGAGCTGTCTGTGGAGGCCTGGGCCTTTAGTCTCCCCTTCCCAGCATGCTCTGTGTCATCCCAGCTGCTTCATCCCCTACCTTTGCTCACTGTCTTCCTTCTCCAATGAGTCTGCTTGGTGGGCACATCACATCCTGGAGGCATCACCCAGACCATGCTTTGCCAGAGTTTCTGGCCCAGCTCTGGGCTGGAGTCCTACTGCGACGTTCTGCAAGCATCTTGGGAGATTCCAATGTGGACATTGTCCTACCCCAGTTCCTTGGGCCTAGAGCAACCTTCTCTAGTGTGCACCAGCCTACCAGATGGCTGCTTCCTCTGTGAAGTCTTCCATGACTATGCCCTCCACTGTGAGCGTCTCCATCACATGCCAAGTCTGTACCGTCCGACGCACACAGATCCTGGTTTTTCTCTTAGCTCGGGTTTGGTGTTGTCTTTGTGTCTACCACCTCTCTTCAGTTTCTCTCTTCGGTTTCTCCCTTCGACCTTCACTTCTCAAAGTGTGGTTCCACCCTGGCCAGCTGACACTGGTTCAGAATCAGCCGGCAGACACTTGGGAGATTCCAGTCAATTGTTTTTCCACGTGGCTTCTCTCACGTACTCCACCATCTGTCTCACTGTCTAGCCACCATGCCCCCCTCTGTTAACCCCTTCTGTTCTGTTCATTGTTACACACTCAGCCAGGCGCTTAATGAACATCAGAACGAGTGGATACTTTTTTAAAAAAATCTGCATCTGTCTTCCAGGATCATTTCTCTGTTGAGCAAGTTCAGACTGGGATTCCATGAAGTTCACGTCCTTCCCGACATCAACCAGAAGCCCCAGGCCGAGCAGTGAGTTCTCTGTTGGGAGTTCCAGACAGAAGGGCTGGCACTGGCCCTGCAGATCCCTCTGCTTGCTGCTGCTTTCTTCCAGCCCTATTGGCTCCTGTGCTTCTTTTCACGTGGGCCTCAGGACCTTTGCACAGACAGCTGTTTCTCCACCCAGCCCCTTCTTTCTGCCTTATGCACACAGCTGGCTTCAGAAGAACACACACCTCCTTCAGCTAGCAGAGACGCCTGTCCCACCTATTCCCTGTCACAGGACTCAGGGCATATCTTCCTAAAACACCCACCTTGTGTTTGCTTGCATCCACCAAGCTCATCAGGAGTTCAGTGAGGATGGGATCCAGTCTGTCTTGCTGACATAGGGGCAGCAGCATTTGATGCTACTGGCTGAGTGGGGAAGGAGGGGAGGGTCTGGGTCACTGGACAGCTTGTGGACTTTTGCTAAATGTCAGACCTAAGTGTTAAGGGCTGGTGCCACATGTAAGCCATTCAGTGCAAATGGCAAAGTTGGATGAGTTCAATCTGAGGGGTATGTCCTTGTGTGTGGTAATCCTAGGTGTCCCCTGAGCTTCCTCCAAGTCCCTGGCTCCCCCGGAAACAGGGCCCTGCCACCCAGCCTCACTTGTATTTTCCTTCCCAGCACCAAGCGGTTTGAGGACATGATCGCACCCTTCCGCCTCAATGATGGCTTCAAGGACGAGGCCACTGTCACTGAGATGAGGAGGGACTGTCCCTGGAAGATCTCAGATGAGGAGATTAACAAGAACAGAATTAAGGTGCAAGAGAGGGAAGGGGCTCACCAGGGTTTGGGGGTCCCAGCATGTGTCCCCATCCTGGGCTTCTGGAATCCTCACTTGGCCCTACCGTACTTGCCCTGAGCAATTTCTGAGATGTTCTTGGGCTACATGAGAGGGCAGCATGAGAGAGCAGAGCCTCATCCTGTCCTCTGTGAGGAGGCTGACCCTCCTACAGTGTAAGTGGGTCTGACCATTGATGGTGTTCTTCCAGAGCTGTGTATACGGCAGGCACGAGCTCTCTTGACATTGTTTTCAGTGGTATTTGTAGTCAGAGTAAATAAAATGGCAGGGCCAGCCAGGCACCCAGGGGCAGATCTCAGTTCTCCTCTCAGTGGTCCTGAACTGGGGTCACTTGCCACCCTCCTCCAGTAGGGACATTTGTCAACTGTCTAGAGATATTTTTGGAGGTCACATCAAGGGATGTGTGTTACAGCTGTTATGTATTACATAGAGACCGGGGTCACTGCTAAATGTCCTACAAGGCACAGGGCAGCCCTCACAGCAAAGAACTGGGCTTCCAAGATGTCCACAGTGAGACAGTGAGAGTCCCAGACTGGGCTAACTCACTTTCCTTGGATTCCTTTCTCAACAGAAAGTATTTATCCACTCTCAGGTCCGGGGAGTTGACCTCATTTCTGAGGGACTCAGAGGCAGCCTTAGGTTGAGGTGTGTCCCCCAGCCAGCCCCACCCACCCTGGGACTTTGAATGTTTTCCCAGCCTGGCACCAGCTGGCTCTGTAGAAAGTACTAAATAAATAAGCAGGGTGTCTAAAGACAGCCCTCTCCAAGTCCTGCTGCTGGGGAGGCTGAGTCCTCCAGTCTTTTATACAGAGAGCCTTCCGTGTGCCAGGCCCTTTGTCTGCCACTGAACTGAGCTGTGAATTAGCTCATTTGAATTCTTCCACATCCCCTGGGGAGGACATTATTATACCCATTTTGCAGAGGTACACACTGAAGCTCAGGGAGACACTGTACCTTGCCCAGGCTCTCTGCCATGAAGCTGTGGAACTGAAGTTTCAAACCAGCAAAGAACTTTCTTCCCATTATCACGCTGATCATGTCAATAAAGTCAGGCAAGGAAATAAAAAACAACCAAACTGAAAAACAAAACAAACAAAGGAAAAGTGCATTTGGTGCTTAATTCCCATGAGGGTCCCTTTATTCCTGGGGGTGGGGAGTCAGGAATTGTTTAGGGGAATAATTCTGTATCCAGTTAAACTGGGGGTGGGGTGCTGTTAAGGAAGTAGGGGTGACTTTGACTTTCCCTGGCCCCAGTCCCTTCGGCAGGTGAGGCTGAATGAGATTCTCCTGGATTACTCTCGGGATGCTGCTCTGATCATCCTGTAAGTCATGGCGGCTGGCGGGAGGAGTGGCCTGCTGGGATGATGGTAGCTGCTCAAAGGGATCCAGGATGCTGCAGACTCAGCCTGGTGGATTCTCTTCTTGGTTTTTCGAGACAGGGTTTCTCTGTGTAGCCCTGGCTGTCCTGGAACTCACTCTGTAGACCAGGCTGGCCTCGAACTCAGAAATTACCTGCCTCTGCCTCCCAAGTGCTGGGATTAAAGGCGTGTGCCACCACGGCCCGGCTAGCCTGGTGGATTCTCAAAGGACATGGCCAGTCCAATGTCTGACTCACAGCCCTGGCCTAAACATGTTGATCTTCCTTCCTTGTTTACTTCTTTTCCTGCCAAACAGACTTGGCAGATAGAGGCAGCTTGTCATAGAAGCCAGAGTGTCTCCTAGCTTGGAAACTGTCCAACTCTCATTGGCTATTTGCCATCACCTAATGATTTGAGGGCTGAACCTGGACAAGTGGAATGGAGGCTACTTTGGCCACACTGTTCCTCTGGAACGACACCCAGTCCACGCTGCCCTCCAGTGTTGGCCAGGGCAGGGCAAGTGGACAGGAACAGTGGCAAAAAGGGTTCTCTATGTGGCTTTAATCTCTCTGGGGCCAGGAACAAGAACATGGCTAACCAAGACCCCCACATCTGTTGCTTAGGGTAACATGCAGATTTGGTTAAGATATTTCTCCTTCTTGCCGGGGGCCAAGCACTTTCTCTGCTCAGGCAGGACATCACACTGATAGGACTTCTACCACATGAGAACTTAAGCCCCTAGCCTAACATCTGGAGCTTGCTATGAATCCCTAGATGGGGCTCAAACCAGGGATCCTGCCACCTCTGCCTCTTTGGCAGTCAGCAACAAAGAACATGTCAAGAAGTGGCCTTCTTTTCAGGCATGCTATGATATAGACCTCAGGGGGTCTTTTTCTTAAAATCTTGAGGTAGCAGCAAGGAGGAAGGCCAGAGGCAGTCTTACTTGATAATAAGATGGTCGTGGACAGATGACGTGTCTGTGTAGTTTTAACACCCTTCTTTTTAGTGTGCATGAATCTAAACTGGTGCAGAAAATAATTAATCCCAGTCAGGGGCTTCTACCCTGCCTTGATTATTCAATTCCCAGATAAAAGACACATGCTGCCTTTAATTTATAATAAGCCTTTGTCAGCACTAAAGCTGGGCAGAGATCTACCCTCTATGTTGTTAGAATCTACTTTACCGTAGATAACTCTGAATTATTACTTGCTATGTTCCATCTGGGCTGCTCTTAACTGCAATTGGCCAGCCCTCATGGTCATGATTTTAAGATTCTTACCCCATGGTGTCTTCTCTTTTCCACAACTTCCTCTCTCTTTTCACGGTCTCCTCCACCCCAAGCCCTAAGCCCAAGGGATTAGAAACCCTAAATCCCGCCTAATGGCTCTTTTGCCCAGCTATTGGCTGTTGGCATCTTTATTCACCAGTCAGGGATAACTTGGGGCACGGGACAAGGTCACATAGAGACACCTATAAGCAGTCTCTGGGAGCAACCAGTATTTGGCTTAGCAAAAACAAAAACAACAACAAAACAACAACAACAAAAACGAAGTCTCAACACTAAATATGCTGGAAGACCTACAAAGTATTATCTGCTCTAGAAAGTAAATCTCTATCTGCTGATACAAGCAATACAGTAAAGGTTCTATTGTTATAATAAGCACTATGACCAAAAGCAAGTTAGGGAGGAAAAAGTTGATTTCAACTTACAAGTTCTTGTCTGTTGTCCAGGGATGTCAGGAAAGGAGCTCAAAGCAGGAACCTGGAAGCAAGAAGAATGCAGAGGCCATGGAGGAGTGCTGCTTCCTGGCTTGCTCTTCGTGGCTTGCTCACTCTGCTTTCTTATAGCACCCAGGACTACCAGCCCAGGGCTGGATGGCATTGCCCACATAGCCTTGGCCCTCCCATATCAATTAGTAATCAAGGAAATGCTCCACAAGCTTGCCCACGGGCCAGTCTGGTGAGGACATACCTCAATTGTGGTTGTCTCAAAAACTGACTTTATAGCTGGGCAATGATGCATGCTTTTAATCCCAGCACTCAGGAGGCAGAGGCAGACAGATCTCTGAGTTCAAGGCCAGCCTGGTCTACAGAGTGAGTTCTAGGACAGTTAGGACTATACAGAGAAACACTTTCTTGAAAAACAAAACAAACAAACAAAAAAACAAAAAAAACCCCTGACTCTACCTTATGTCAAGTTGACCAGAAATTAACCAGGACGAGCAGAAATGTGTGGCAAAGGCTGTTTTAGTTAGTTAGTTAGTTAGTTAGTTAGTTAGTTAGTTAGCTGTTGTGTTTGTTTTTCTGTAGAGAGGCCTCAAGCTTAGCACCATACTGGGTTTAGAATGCAGAAGACTCAAAAATAGTCCATTCCCAACCTGGTTGCCTCCTAGTCTCCATCAGCCATACCTGACATTCAATTCACAAGAAGAGACTGCTATCAAGAAGTCCCTTGAGGGTGATGGGAGAAAATGGGGTTTCCATTGCACACAGCCAGGAGTAACACATTTCCATGAGGGGACCAGTATTGTTTCTGTCAGACTGTGTAAGTGTCTCTTTGAGAAGATCAGCATGCCAAAAATGCCTGAGGCCTTCCAGCAGATGAACAGGAGAGTGACAGATGGAGTCTGAAGCCTGTGATAAGCAGGCCATCAGAGTCCTGATGCCAGCAGGGTCTGGCCCTTCAGTCTTGTCCACAGACTCATGGGGGTTCATATGGCACCAGCCAGTCATTCTGTATGGAAGTCAATGCTGCTTTATTTCTACCAACAGAGTTTGGTCAGCAGCTAAAGGTTAGACTGTGGGGACGGTGTGTGTGTGTGTATGTGTGTTGTCTTCTTGGACAGTACTCAGTCAACCAAGGTTCAGAAATCACGTCTTTAGTCCACTCAGAACTGTAACAAAATACACACTGGGTCTTTTATAAACAACAGGAACTTACTTCTTGTAGTTCTGGAAGATTCAAGATCTAATATCAAAATGTCAGCAAATATGGTATCTGGTAAAGCCAGCCATCTGGTCATAGATGAGAGTCACATGTCATTAGGAGACCCCTTGTCATTGTGTCCACACATGGCAGGACATGTCTAGAGACATTTTGTACAGAGGTTGCTAAGCTCTTGACCTTACCACCTCCCAAAGCCCCCAGCTCCTAAACCCTAAACCCATCACCCTCCAACCCAGAGGGAAGCATTTCAACTAGCCATGTATATTCAGACCACAGCAAATGGCTTATTGGCTTTGTTCTTGTGAGTTACTTTACATGTGCCCAAGGACAGAAAGACATGCAGGACCCTTAGTGATTCATGGTGTTCTGGATAGAGTGGTGGTCAGGATTTCAGACCAGTCAGCATCAAAGCACAGAGATCTGAGCTCTAGCAGTTGCCAATCCTTCCCTGGGCCACGCCAGAGGACACTAGAACCTACATGCTTTTCCTCAAGGGCTGGCTCCCTGTACTGGGCTCTCGGCAGCCAAAGGGTGGTGTCACACGCAGGTAGTTGAATTCTGCCTTGGAACACCCTCCGGTGGGGCTTACAGCATTGAAAAAGTCAAGACTGTGAAACCAAGGCATTAAGCCAGATGTGGACCTCTGAGGTAAGCCAGATGTGGACCTCTGAGGTAGGGCCCTTCTGGGGATCCATGACACCCATTGTTGAGCATCTCCCAGGGTCTGCAGGAGGTCATGTTTTCCTACTGAGAAAGTGCTGAGGGAAGGGGTTTGTTCCATCAGCACCTCCCAGAGAATGTTCCTAAAGCAAAGGTTGGGCCCAGGGTGTGGCCTCAGTCAAGAGAGTGGAGGTGGCTCTGAGACATCTAACTGTCTGGGGACTCTGAGGTGTGAACTGTCCAGGGTGCATGGGTGGGACAAGCGGCAGCTTTCATAGTACGGTCTCTCTTCAAAGAAACACACTGTAATTATGACCTGCTGTTAACTGACTGTGTACCCTTGGCCAGGAACGCCATGTCTCTTTAGCCTTGATTTCCCTAATGACTCCTAAAGCAGGTTCAGGGTTCTTTTTCATCACACTTCGATCTCAAGTTCACTTGCTATAAAATGAATCCATCTCTGGCAGAGGGGGAGGGGGATGACACAGGACAAGAGGAGATTTTACCTGAGTGGCATCTCTCACCCCACTTTCTTCTCTCCCCTCAAAGTTCAGGAAAAGTCAAAAGCTCACCAACTAGTCTTGCGGGATTAGCTGAGAGCAACAATGGTGTGTCTGGTCACCGGGGAGGTGACACCTGCACACGCCCCACCCTAGCCAGCTGACACCCAATGGGGTCCCAGCTCTTGGGCCAACTCCACAGAGCAGCTGTGTGTGTGTGTGTGTCCCAACCCTCCCAAGTTGGAGACCAGCCCAGATTTCTCAGGATGTAGTCAAGGTCAGCCTCATTAGACTTGGAAACCTGGAAAATGCAAATTCTAGTCTCTTCCAGAATGGGGCTAGGAGGGGCTCAAGACTCCTGTCCCCAGAGGAAAACAAACGAGGAGCACTCCTCACTGGACCAGGTAAAATGGATGTCTAGTCTAGCTCCAGCTTGCAGCAGAGCCTGGCTTTGTCTGTCTCCTACTCAGTGGCTTATCTGATGACCCACCCCCATACCTCCACCCATGTGTGAGCACAGCTACACCTGCACAGGTGTTGAGCTGGCACTGCACAGGTATTATCCCCACCCCACAGGCAGGTTAAGAGCCTGCCTGTTCCTGTGGGGATCAAGGTACTCCTTTTCTCAGTAAGGATTTCCTCCACATTGCCAAAGAGTAATTCATAAAGGCATCCTTACCACAGTGCCCATGCTAAGGAAGATACTGCAAGCATGGGAACTGCTTTAAGGATCATAACTAAACTGTGTTCCTTGAGACAAGGACACTGTCACAGGAGTTGGATCCTCTACTCAGGGCCTTCCAGATGGGGAGTGGACTGGCACTCAGCCTGGATTGGTTCCGTTCAGGGACTTCTGAATCTAGCATTCACCCAACATTGCCTTGCAACTTTGAACAGGACTTGTTTTGTTCTCAGCTTTGTTCTAAAGATCAGTGGTTTAAGGAAAGCACATCCTGTTGGCAGGAAGAAGCATGTCATTGGCTAATGCTAGAGCGAGTTAAAGGTGCTCTTCCTGGGATGAGGCCACAGGCTCCGCTGAGGGAGGGAACTTCATGCTGAAGCTTGCTGTGGGAACTGTGGGTGTCTTCTGGCTCTGAACAGGCAGGCACCTGTGCCCCTGTGGCCTTTAAAATTGGTGAACTCAGTTCCCAAAATACTGAAGCATTTCCCAGATGGCAGAGCCTTCCACATCAGGAGTGCCTGAAAATCTAAACTCTGCCTTTCTCCTCTCTTGTGCCATTTCCATGGAAGATCACTAACCACTTTCAGATGACGATGACAGTTGCTTAGTGACATAGACATCCTTGTTCCCACCCACCTTCCCTGCTCTTTGGGACCTTATTTTCTAAAAATAGGGCAATGCCTGATGTTCTGACCCTGAATTTTAGTTAGTGGTCACAGGCATGGTGAGATTGTAGCAAGCAGATCCAGCAAGTAGAAAGATCTAGAAACCTGGTTTGAGACCCATCTCTACCGCCTGTACTCTGTATGTGTCCACAGACAGCCAACAAGGGCAGTACCTCTGTGAGTACTCTATTTAAAGAACTCCGAGGCTCAGTGCCAGTGAGGCACTTTGCCAAAGCCACCAAGTTGAGGACATTGCAATGCCAGCACTCGGGCAATGTCTATGGGGTCAGATTCTGAACTCTGAACCCTAGTTCAAATCTGCCTGGCTAGCTGCTCCAACTGGCCAAGTTCAGTTGGGGCACTGTCCACTGCTGGTCTGTATTAGAGCTCAGATGGAGGAATTGTCAAGGGTACAATCCCTTACAGTGCCGTGTAAGCACGGGTATCCCAAATTCATGAACCATTGCTGAATCTGTGGGATGCTATATATCCCAGAACCCTAGACACTGGGACATGGTCCCAATGCATCTTTAGAATTCTTAAAATGGTAGAAAAGTCACTTGCTTATCTAAACAGCTAAACATGACTGAACAGCATTCTAGGATATACTATTACCTGGATGTTGTTTTGCAGCTGGGACAAGAGGCCCCCGAGAAACCATGCTGGAATCTTCCCTGACATCCTTCATGGGGCAGGGGGCGGGACAAGGACATAAGGACATGCAGCCACATCACAGGAGCATGTCACATTGTGGCTTTGGGAAGGTGTATGGATGGAAAGGCAAGCCTGGCATGGTGCTAGTGACCTGGTGGGGTGACCTCAGCCACTCAGCATATATGTTTTGAGTCTGTCTGTCTCAGAATGTATTTATGCACAGAGGGAAGGGCCACACAAAACTCAGCAGATGGATGAACACATAATCCAATGAGGGAGACAGACAGCACATAAACACAACTAATGATGCCTTTAAGATTGTGGAGGGCTGTGAGAACAGTCAACTGGGAATTGGATGGAAAGGTGTGGTCAATCAGAGGAGCTGTCCGCAAGCAGCTGGATGCCCTCAAGCCTGGATGATTCAAAGATTCAATCAGAGCTGGGTATGATGGTTTGCCAAGTCCAAAGGTCTCAAGACAGGAGCAATTTACTACCATGACTCTTCAGGAATGATTAAGGCTGAGTGAGGTCGGAAGGTATGTGAGTTAGGGTTTCATTCCTGTGACGAGACACCATGGCCAAGGCAACTCTTATAAAGGAAAACTGGGGTTATAAAGTTTAACTGGGGCTGGCCTACAGTGTCAGGTTTTAGTCCAATATCATCACAATGGGAAGCATGGCAGCATGCAGGCAGACATGGTGCTGGAGAAGGGGCTGAGAGTTCTACATCTTGATCTGAAGGCAGCAGGAGTCTGTGTCCCTGGGCAGTGCTTGAGCCTGGGAGACCTCAAAGCCCCTCCTCCAGTGTCACACATCCTCCAACAAGGCCACACCTACTCTAGTTAGGACACACCTCCTAAACGTGTCACTCATTTTGGGCCAAGCATTCAAACACTTGAGTCTCTAGGGGACAAACCTATGCAAATCACCAGAGAAGGGTTTCAGGGGACTGGGTCATAAGGGAATGTACAGCCATAGGTCTGCTTAAAAATACTTTGTGACTGAAGATGCTGTTTGAGGAACTGTGAAAGACAGCAGGGAGGTCTTTTTTGCAGGGAGGTCTTAAGGTGAGTGGAAAGGAGTGGTGAGCAAGCAGGAAACAGAAATACTCTTCAGAAAACAAGCCCTGTACTGGGCTGTGTGGGAAAGCCCTGGATAATTCCTCTGCTCCTGCTCTTCCTCCTACAGCACCTTGCCCATTGGAAGGAAGGGGAAGTGCCCCAGTTCACTGTACATGGCCTGGCTGGAGACCCTGTCCCAGGACCTCAGACCTCCAGTCCTCCTTATCCGAGGCAACCAGGAGAACGTGCTCACCTTTTACTGCCAGTGATGCCCGGTGTGGTGGTTCCTGCCCAAGGCTGAGGGCTTGAGATGGAGTCAAAACTCACCCTCTCCAGCTGGAGAAGAGGCTTCAAGTTCTGCTCTATCATACCATGTACCAGTGTCTCGGCAGAAGATGGTGTTTCCAAGCTGGCTGAACCCCACCAGACACACTTTTTGGACCTTGAAGTTACATGGAAAAAGTCTCTGGAAGATTCTCTCTCTTTTAAAAAGCTTTTATTTGTCTTGATGACCAAAGTATTAGTCATTGATTCAGTCTTTAACTTGTATACAAATTGAGTCCCAGCACTGGGTGCACAACTTGGCAGTCTCTCTTGGGACCCTCCCTGCACCCATCCCCAAAGATGTCTTAGAGCAGGAGCCTATCCTGAGGACTCACGCAGAGTTCTGATGACCACAGGGTCCTCTGAGCTGCACAGCCACACACATTTCTTCAGCCCTAACTCCTGTTGCTTCTCAGTGATGGCTCCGGGGTGGTCTTACTGATTCTTTACACGAGGGTCCTCTAGGTACTTTGATTACAAATTCTATGGTTTTCCCGGAGACTCAGAACACACAGAACAATGGCAGGGAAGCATCACAAAATGGTACTTACTCTAGAGGGTGCCTTCCAGTATTTTCTGTTCTGCTTCTCTCTCTTTCTCTCTTCCTCTTTCCTCTCCCTCCCTCCTACCCTCCTTCCTTCTTTCTGACAGAGTCCTGTATAGTCCAGGCTGGCCTTGAACTTGCTCTATAGCCAAGAATAGCTTCGAACTGCTGATACTCCCCCACCCCCAGCTTCTACTACAGAGCACCGAGATTCCAGGCACATGCCAGTATACCGGCATGTTTTCTGTGGTGCTAGGGATCAAACCTATGGGTTTATGGGTACCAGCAACTATGCTAACTATGCTCCTTGCCCAGTCTCTATTCTGCTTCTTTTTACGTTGATTGCAACCTACTAAGTGATTTTCAGACCCACTCACGTGCAGCGACCCAAGTTTTGAAAAACAGGTTTAATGGTTTGTGTGTAGGGTTTGTTGCTGGTTAGTTTTCTTGTTGTTCAGGAATTTTGTTTTGTCAACTTGGCAAGAGCTAGGGCTATCTAAGCAGAAGGAACTTCAATTGACAAAATGCCTCCCTCTGATTGGCCTGTAACGATTGATGGGGGGGCGGGCTAGCCCACTTTGTTGCTGTGCCACCATGTGCAGGTGGCCCTGGAGTGTATAAGAAAACAGGCTGAGCAAACCACAGGAGCAAACCAGTAAGTGTTCCTCCGTGGCTTCTGCTTTAGTTCCTGCCTAGAGTTCCTTCCCTGACTTCTCTTCATTATGAACTGTAAACCCTAAGATGAAATAAACCCCTTTCTCCCCAAGTTGCTTCTGGTTCTGATGTTTACTGCAGTAATAGAAACCCTGACTAAGCCTGGGCACCGCTGAGCATCACAACCATATCCCCTCTGTCGCTCAGGAAAGCAAAGGAAACCAGCAAAGCTGGAGGGAGGGAGGGAGGGAGAGAGAGAGAGAGACAGAGAGAGAGAGAGAGAGAGAGAGAGAGAGACAGAGAGAGAGAGAGAGAGAGAGAGAGAGAGAGAGAGAGAGAGAGAGAGAGAGAGAGAGAGAGAGAAAGAACCTGATACGGGGAGGGTTGAAAAAGAAGACGCACAAGAAGATGCAAGGTTCTCGGAACCGAGGGACAGGTTGTTACACTGTGGGGCTGGAAGAATGGAGAGCAGTGATTTTAAAAGCAGAGAAGGTAAAGAAGATGCCAAGATAGGCAAAGGAAGAAAGGAGGAAACAGATTCTACACAGCCCAGGACTGGAAGGATCCTCCAACCCAGATGAAAGAGAGCAGGTTAGCAGATGGTCAAGTGCATCCGGGTGAGGTAAAGTGGTGGAAGGAGCTGGGTGTGTGATAAAAGGACTTGCTGAGCAAAATGGGAGTCTGGCAGAGCTTAGCAGGGGTCTGTGCTTTGCTGTCACGAGACCCTGCACCCAATTCCCAGCTCTATAGAAAGTCCTGTCTGCACTAGCCAGTGTTGACTTTTCTGGAAATACATAACAATTTCCTGGCAAATGGTGTCCTCCTTCAGATACCAAAGAGTCCTTGGCTTGAGATTTTATTTTGGCTTTGGGTATTTAAATAAAATTTTTTCTAATGTTAAATACGTTTGTGCTGGCTAGTTTCATGTCAACTTGACACAAGCTAGAGTCATCTGAAAGGAGGGAACCTCAACTGAAAAAACGCCATCACAAGATCCAGCTGTGGGGCATTTTCTTAATTAATAAGGGATGGGAGAGGGCCCAGTCCATTGTGGCTGGTGACATCCCTTGGCTGGTGGTCCTGGGAAAGCAGGCTGAGCAAGCCAGTAAGCATCACCCCTCCATGGCCTCTGCATCAGCTCCTGCCTCCTGGTTCCTGCCCTGCTTCAGTTCCTGTCCTGACTTCCCTCAGTGACTACAAAATGGAAGTGGAAGCCAAATAAATCTTTTCCTCCCCAACTTGCTTTTGGTCATGGTGTTTATATCACAGCGATTATAAACCCCAACTAAGACAACGTTCGACAATAATAAAAATTCTATTTTTAAAAGAAAAAAACATTAAAAATATTGATTGATTGATTGATTGGGAGGTTTTACTGAACAGGCTAGGCTGGGCTTAGGACTTTGAATTCTCCAGTCTCACCTTCCTAAATGCTAGGATTATAGGTGTGGGCCACCTGCTTTCTCTCACTCCAAAAAAGCTTTGGGTTAACATCCAGACCCAAAAGCAGGACAAAGAACTTATTTGCTTAGGAACTCACCATTTTTCAACTATGAGAGGTGATTTTAAAAAAATGAGCTGTTGTTTTGCTTTTTGGGTTTGTTGTTTTGTTTTCTTCTCACCTGGATGGAACTTTTCTCTTGGTCCCTGAGGTCAGACAGTCACTTTGCTTAGAAATATTTACAGCTGTTTTTTTTTTCCCCCTCTTACTACATTTGCAGTCAGTTCCTTGGGGAGCACATTCTCCTCAGCCCCCTGATGCTACCCAGCTTTTGTTTTGGGATCTTACCTCAACTGAAAGGGAGACTGAGAACAAACTCAAATCTGAGTTTCTGACACTCTCCATTGTGTGACTTCAGATTCACTCCCTTAATCTCTCCGCTTACAAAATGGGAGAACCGGGCCACAGTAGGTGTCCCCAGACAGTTCGCCAGCCAGTGAGTGTGGCTTGGCCCACCATGGCTGACCAAATAGTTTCTTTAGCAGGGATGGGCAGGTGGGGGCAGGGTAGACTTCCTCCCCATTTCCTCTCCATGCCCCCCTTCCTGGTCCCCTGCTGTAGGAGCTTTAGGTCAGGTCTCTAAGGCACTCCATTCCCCCATTAGTCAGCAGAAGGAGAAGAGAGGCCAGTGCCCACTACAGTGTTCTTTCTGTCTTTGGCTAACGTTATTACATTACAAAACAATTTTAATTTTTACTTTTAATTATGTGTATGTATGTATGTCTCTGTATGGGTATGTACATAGGGGTGCAGATGTCATCCGAGACTAGAGGTGAAGAATCCCCTGGAGCTGGAGTTCCAGCCTGTTCTAAACTAACTGCCTCCTATAATTGTTGGGAACCAAACTTGGGTCCTCTGGAAGAGCGGATACCTGTTCTTAACTACTGAACCAGCCCCCCAGGCTCCACTTTACTACACTTTACAGCCAGGAGGTGGTGTTTCTGATCGGTGCTTTAGTCTTGATGCTCCCACAGGGAGGCAGTGCACAGGGGTGATGCCAGCTCTAGCCACTGTTGAAGGAGGTTTCACTTAGCTCCCCTGAGGGCACTGCTCCAGTAAGTAGCTCTTATTTCCCCCTTGGCCTTTCAGCCTCCAGAGTTACCTGTACCTTCTTTCAGCTCCCAGATAGATTTCTTGTGGCTTTGAAGTAATTGAGTACAGTCTGCTCTCTGCCCTGTAGCTCTCTGTTGGTGCTACATCTGGGCCTCAGCAACCCAGAGAGAGTCCTACTCAGAACTGAATCCCCTTCAAGTACTTGCCTGGCCTCTCCAGTGTGGTCAGGTTGAGGTGGGTTTCGCATGAAATGAGACCTGATGGAATATTCTAGAAGAACCACCTGGCTGAGAAAGCCCTCAAGCATATACAAAGCAGGCAGAGTGGCTTCACATGGGTCAGGGAATCAGCAGACAAGGCTTCAAGAATCTTTACAGAACAAGAAACCCAGCCACTGCCTGGATTGGTAATAACTCAGTTTGTGGGAAGTTTAGTCTTGTGACTGAAGACACAAGTGCCTCGGAAGGACCTGCTTCCCTAAACACACAGTATCAGTTCACTTTCTGAAGACACTTGAGGAGAGTCACTGGCTGGGAGGCCTGCAAATGGAAGTCGTCTGGGTACACACAAGACGGTGGCTAGTGGCAAAAGCAAGCACTTCTGTGAGTTACAAAGAAAAATGTTTCAGTAGCAAAAGATTCGGGAACTCTTGGTAACAAATCCAGGCGAGTCCCTGTGGAGAATATGGCATCGGAAAGAGGCTTGGAGAGTTTGTGTGGTGGTGTTAAACCCACCAATCAAGTATAAGACCACAGCCGGGCAGTGGTGGCGCACGCCTTTAATCCCAGCACTTGGGAGGCAGAGGCAGGCGGATTTCTGAGTTCGAGGCCAGCCTGGTCTACAGAGTGAGTTCCAGGACACCCAGAGCTACACAGAGAAACCCTGTCTTGAAAAACAAAAACAAAAAAAACAAACAAAGACAAAAAAAAAAAAAAAGAAGAAGACCACTACTACTGGTTTTGAGCCAAATTTGAAGCAAGGTTTAGGTGAATACTGGCCATGTTAATACACTCTGGCCAGGACCATTCTAGGGCTCTCAGAAAGTGGGCACCAATCACATTTAGCAGAAGCTTATAAAGGCACGCCCATAAGGCTGACATACTTCCCGTGAGGTCCAATCAGGGGCAAGCATATGTCCTGACTTATTTCCTGCCTACATATCTTTCAATTACCTGTAATCAAGCACATGAGGTACAGTTGGGTCAAACAAACTTGTTTAGGGAAGTGAAAACATGTGACTTATAATCTTCCATAAACATTGGCCTCCAGTATTTCAGAAACTATATCTGTCCTTGGGCAAGAGGCTTACAAGTTATAGACATTTTTGTTTATGACTCTCTTAGGCACAATGATTAAAACTTAAAATATAACTTTAGATCTCACAGAGCCCATTCTATATCTCCAGCTCTTAGGAGGCTGAGGCAGGAGAATTGCCCCTCTCTAAAAAAAGCCTTGAAGGATGGGTGTAGTGGGTTTAGCCTAAGGTTGCTTGCATTCTGATGTTAATTTGGGTCCCCCAAACTGCTTCCATAGTATTTGCGCATAGCTTTTGGGAACCTGCTCCCAGTTGGTTCTGATTAGTAAATAAAGATGCCAGCAGCCAGTGTCTGGGCAGGGCAAACTGAGACAGGACTTGAGAACTCCTGGGCTTGGGACTGGGGAGGAGGAGGAAGGAAGAGAGTGAGGAGGAGATCCGCCATCCCTCAGAAGAGTGCTGGACAGAGAAGCATAGCCGCCATGTGAAGGAGCCAGGAAAGGTCGCCCAAGAGGGCTGCCCAACTGAGTCCAGGGTAGCCAAGATAGAATATACTCAGGATTATTGGCGGGAGGTGGATTAACTGTGTGAAGTTTAGACAGTTGGCCCAGGTATTGTGCTGCTTAAGGTGAACCCGCCACTGGGATTTATTCATTATTAAATTCAACAGATAGGTAAGATTCAACAGGAGAAAGGAGAAGCAAGAGCTGGGGTGGGAGAAACACGCTAGCAGGAGAAGGAGCTTGAGCAAGGGCCAGCAAAAGAGCAACTCTAGATATGCTGGAAGAACCAGAATCAGCCAGTTTCCCTAGAGTGTGAGAAATGTGCACCTAGGCCAGTAAAAATGGCGGGGCCACCCATATAGACCCCAGGTATAATGCTGGCAAGCAACTGGGCATGGCAATGCATGCCTGTCATCTTAGGAGAGGCTGAGACAAGTTTGTGAGTTCAAGGTCAGCCTGAGATATGTAGAAGACCCTGTTTTAAACTATACAAGGTGGTAGAGGGTGGGCTTCCAGAAAACCCAGAGGAGCTCAGTACTGAAGGTGAGAGAGGGCAGATCCAGGCTTCAGGAAGTATGTTAACCAGGTGAAGGAAAACCAGGAGGACCCAGCGGGAAGTCGAATGGAATCTCAAAGCAGACAAAGCTCAACATTCTAAGCAAGGTGGGTGGAAGAGAGAAGAGGAAGGATGCAGACCAGGGTAGGAAGAAATGAAAGTGGGAATGGCCTGGATGCATGCATGAATGGACAGGGTCCCTGATGCTGAGCTGGGGCAGTTCTAAGAATAAAGGGCATTGGGA